CTGCGGGTCAGCAGCCTTAGCCTTAAACCAGCAACCTTAGCCACTAAACCACCGCGGCGGGGCAAGGCGCAAAAAGATACATAAGAAAACAGAATTATTGTAAACTACTTCCCTTGCGAAAGAGCTTTTTTGGACGGCATTTTTATTAATAGTGTGCTTTCTTTTTCTAACGTTAGCCAGAATGTTGAGACAGTGCGTGGCGAAACGCTTGTTCGGCATGCAATTTTCGTGAAGCCACAATTTATTTGATGTGTGCAGTTCTCTTTGTCAGCTGTACAAGCTCTACGGCAGAGGGCCCTTACTCAACCATGTGTACGCCTCCACGAGGCAAATGGCGGCAGCCAGGAAACAGGCGCCAGACCAATGCCAGGATGCCAACCGCTGCTTTCTTTTGTCTGTGCGCTCGGTCTGTGCACCCTGCACAGATCGAGGGAAGTTGAAACTAGCGTGTAACCTGTCTGTTGTACGTGTCCGTGGCACGCTACCGGACGTTTACAGGGACGCATGGGACTAGAAATGGACTTGACCTCTGCTCATTTGGTGGCAGTGCATACTGATGATGCTACCCCCATAGCTGGCCAACCATCTATGTAATTCTGTTACATTTTTGTTGTGTTGAGTCGGAGCACATCATTCACAAATCAAGAAACACTATGCCGCTACCACCATAAAACGGCGTTCTAGGAAGAACCGCACTACGCTTACGCATATAATGCCGAGCAAGTCCCCCCCCCCCTCCCTCATTCCTACGGTGAAGGAGAATCTGACCAGATTTAGGGGAGTGGGAGGGGGGCGCTTGTTCGATACTGAACGAAAATTGAAGACTGCGTCGGAGAGCCGCCAGATGTAAGAAATGGCCAACCATATTGCTAATCAATGCTTTATTTATTTACTATTTTTATTGACCCTGTTCACTGTCGAACGACACCTTAGATTCGGACGCAAAAGTTTGCAGCCGATGTGAGGTATTCGGGAGTCTTTTCGATGCTATTCGTCACTTGACGCATAGTGACCCCAAACCGCTTGTTCCGCCTCTTGATGTATTATTTGGACACGATGGAATTTCGAAGCTGAAGGGCTTTCGATAATTTCGCCACCTCTTCAACTGAGAGGTGGTTGCTGGTGGCATGGCTCGTGCGCTCTTGCTAGGAATATATATCTTGTTAATGACAATTTCTTTTCATTGATAATTTCAGTGATGGACAACTCTTGCAAGTGTCACCACTCAAGCGGCTACCGGTTTGACCAGTATACAACTAACGACAAGGAAAAATCATAAACAGCATTACATACGCATTCCGTGAACTCATTCTTGTTCTTTTCATGCAAGCAATGTTCCTTTGATAAAGTTTTGTGGAATTACAGGATGGGGGGAACAATGCTTGCTTGATCATTGGCGCTTATTTATGATTTCCCAAAAAAGGCAGGCACCTGCTCTCTCGGGTGGGTGCCTTGATCAGCATTTTACGGTAGACAACTCCCAAAGATGAATATCTGTGGATCTTTCCAAGTGTATATCGTAATTGCTTTAAAAAAAGTTAACTTTACCTTTAATTTCCAAGTCCCCTTCTACGGACTTCTCGAGACGCTCAATCTGAAAAAAAAAGACAGACAGGCATCTATAAGCTGAAGTATTCTGAAGAATAAAAGATTCGTGCACTCTATTGCTTTTCGGTGTAACTGAACTTCCAAGTTTCAAACCTCTAAGATATCCTAATACAAAGCAATGAAGCATTGTTGGAACCTATCCATAGAGACGCAGCTATTCAAACTATTTCATTTGTTTAACTGCATATCACAGTCATGCTGAGGAGGGCGAACTGCAGGTAAATGTTTTGGGAAGCTTCGAAAAACCGTTATATCGATGCCGAATCACAAGAGGAAATCCGCATACGAATAAGTATTTATGCCTGTCATTGGATGATGTAGTCAGAGCAGAAATAGTAGCGAAGAAACCTAGGCTTTGTCACAGTATATACGGTGATGTCATAGCCGGAAAATTGTAGTATGGCCCCCACTGATGAATCATGCACAGTGCAACCTAAAATAATATAGAGCACTGATCTGTGTTTGTAGCCAATAATTAGGCTCGCTTCATACAGATGTACTAACGGGGACGTGTGATAATTAACCCATGGGGAACTTTGTGATTCAAAAGAGATCAAAAGACGAAGATTCATCACAATTGCTCTGACTTTTTTCCTTTAACACATCGTATACCCCTGCAACGTGGAACCCATGCAATAAGTAATGCTTTTCAGGCAATGCGCAACGATAAATTGCTGTTTACTAGGCAACATGCGCCAAGAAAAAAATAAGAATGTCGGTATTATTAATGTGAACCTGAACTAGTTACGACAACAAAGTACGGAAGAGTGTCTGAATATCAGAGGACAGACTAAATAAACGTAATTCAAACAGGCACACCAGTAAAAACACACCAACAAATATATTGACAAAAAAATTGAGGCAAATATTTTTTTTCTCCGAATGCACCACCCTCTCACCGAGAACAATCTGCTAATAGGCACCATTTTCCGAAGATGCGCTTGTTTCCGCACATCTTTCCATTACCAATGAACCAAAAATAATTCAGAGTTGTGGTGGCTTTTGGTGTTTACCACACTGACTTTCATCGAACGCACACCTTTGGTCTTTAAATGTAGCCCTGAAATTTCAGCCGGCGATGCAATAGGGCATGAAAAGCGACATTGGCGTCTGGTGGTCTTTTTTTTTTTAATCCGAAGCATTCATTAGCGAACTTCGGCAAGTTTGACCATATCTATCTATCTATCTATCTATCTATCTATCTATCTATCTATCTATCTATCTATCTATCTATCTATCTATCTATCTATCTAGCCACCAACTACTTCTAGCTATCCTGGCCGTTTGGATAAAGGGATCTGTACCAAAATTGGTACGGCATAACATGACTGTATGACAAGCATAAGTGACTGGTCATACCATGAGCATCATGATATGCATGTTATGAATTCAATGAATGTCTTCACTTACATGTCGTGGTCTTGCTGCTCCTGCAGTGGTTTCGTTCACATGGAATACCGCAAAACAGGTTTGGTATGACATAAGTGCATGGCGAACAGCACTGACAGGCCCTCACGTGGAAACCATGACACGCATGTCATGTAAGATAATGACTACATGCCACGCTAATGATGCAATCGCGGTCGTTTCGCTAGCTTCACCTACACGAAATTTGGTATTAGAGGACGTGAATTGATGACGATGGTATGTCACTGATGCAAACATAATAATCATGGAATGCGTGTCATGTAGCAACATGACTACATTCCACGCTCATGATGCGCTCGCGGTTGTCTCACCAGCTTTACATACAAAAAATTTGGTATTACGTGACATGATGGATGACAAAGGTATAAGACTGGTGCAAACATAATAATCATTTCATGCGTCTCATGTGAAACATGATTACATGCTATGCTCATAGTGCGCTCACGGCCATTCCGATAGCTTCAAATATACCCAATCTGGCGTTACGTGATGTGAATAGATGACGAAGGTATGTGACTACGCGAACATGATAATACTGACACATGTGTCATGTAAGAACATGACTACATGCGACACCCATAATGCACTCGCAATCGTTTCAGCAGCTTCATATATACCAAGTTTGGTATTACGTGACGCGAATGGATAGCAAGGGTATACGACACATCCAAACATAATAATGATCACGTGCGTGTCATGTAAAACATGGCTACATGCTACGCTCGAAGTACGCTCATGGCTATTTCGCTAGCTTCATATGAACCAAATGTGGCGTTACGTGACGTGAGTAGATGACGATGGTATATGGCTGTTGCAAACATGATAATCATGATATGAAAGTAATGTACGGCGTAACTGACGTCCGCCATGTAAATTTGTGCCGATTTTAAAGTGACATATCAACCTTCCTTATTCGTGCTTCGCATTTAATCGATTCCGAGTGTACAGTACATGGGATCTGCTAATTTTTGCGATGGAAAATTCACTGCACGTTACAAGCGCACTAGAGTAGTGTGAAAGCAGTAATTTCTCTATCTAGTGACTTATTTTGTGTAGTCCTATTCGTTTTCCCATGTTTCTGTGTGTTGTAGATTTTAGGAAAAAACTACTGCTTTCTCATAGTATAAGATTACGCTCTGCTTTTCGATGTGAGCAAAAGTGAATCCAAACAGCATGTAATGTATCTACATATCTTGCTGTGCGAACTTCAAGAGAAAGCATCGACCACTGTGCCGATGCGCCCAGTTGTCAACTTTTCATAATGGAAACGAAATCGAAACGTACAGAATACTTACCGCCTTCGGGATTCCAACAAAGACAGATGGATATCGGTTCTTGTCGGCCTTAGCGTGAATCTTCTGGCGCCTTTGTGCTCTGAAAGATGGACCATTAGAAGACGAAATGACACGACGACAAAGAACGAGAACAAACTTTTGAATTAGGGACAGCAAAAGACCAATGTGAAATATACTTAGAACCATGTATTCCCATCGGCTAGATGTAACTTGTTACATGAGACAAGACAATGGGGCGTAAACCTTCATACAAAGAGCAAGAGAAAAGGGAAGATAACACAAACGCCCAATAAATACTGAAAATGCACATACAGGAAGAGGAGAACGTGCGTGGGCGGGTTTATCTGCGCAGCGCTATAGACAAGAGGCGATAGCTATCGATCCGGCACAAGTCGCGGTGTACGATAGAAATTACCGTTCCGATATATCACTTTTTCTTGCTTCGAGTTGAACTACACTCTTAGTCAAATCCTGGCTAGACTACATCCCTGCAGCTAGGAAATCAAGTCAAATTATTGCCGCTTCTACGCGGCTCCGTCGGCGTGTTCCAGAGGATTTGATGTGGCCTTCCAAATAGCCGGGACAAAGATCAGCCGGAATTTTAGGTCCAATTTTTCCCGGCAAGATAAGGCGTGCGGTTAGGCGTGACATTTCCGTAGGCGGCCCGGCCCTGATACGGTGGTGGAAAAAAAAGCATTATTTTTAGCTTTTCAGAGCAGTTTCTCGCCGATGTTGTGGCGGATATTAAATGCGAAGATTTCCTAGCGAACTTCGGTGATTTGGAGCATATCTATCTCTGTTTCTATCTATCTATCTATCTATCTATCTATATCTATCTATCTATCTATCTATCTATCTAGCCGCTTAAGACTTTTAGCTCACCGGGCCGTTTCGATAATGGTATCGATACCAAACTTGGTCTGGCATAACATAACTGTATGAGGAACATATTTGACCAGTCACAACATGAAAATTATAGTATATATGTCATGAATGTCATGATATACAGGTCATGATCCTGAAGCTCTTGCGGTGGTTTCGTTCACATGGCATGTTGCAAAACTGGTAAGGTATGACGTGATTGCATGGCGAACACAAACGACAGACTCTAACATGAAAATCATGACATGCGTGTCATGTAACAACATGACTACATGCCACGCTCATGGTGTGCTAGGGGCCGTTTCGCTAGCGTCACATATACCAAATTTGTTATTACGGTACGTGAATGAATGACGAAGGTATGTGACTGGTGCAAACATGATAATCATAAGTTGCATGTCATGTAACAACAAGACTACATGCCACGCTCATGATGCGCCGGCGGCCGTTTCACTAGCTTCACTTATACCAGTTTCGGCATTATGGAACGTGAATGAATGACGAAGGTATGATGCTGGTGAAAACATGATTATCATGAGATGCGTGTCATGTAATAACATGACTACTTGCTACAATCGTGATGCGCTCGTGACCGTTTCACTAGCTTCACATGTACCAAACACGGTATTGCGCGGCGCGAATGGACGACATAGATATATGACACATCCAGACATGATAATCACGACATGCGTGTCATGTAACAAATGACTACATGTCACACTGATGATGCGCTCGCGGCCCTTTCGCTAGCTTCACATACGCCAAATTTGGTATTACGTGACGCCAACAGATGATGAAGGCATTTGACTGGTGCAAACACGATAATCATAAGATGCGCTTCATGTGAGAACATGACTACATGCCACAGTCAACGCGCCAATACATTTCGACGTGATGCGGTGCGCGTGCTCGCGTGCGTTCATTTCGTCGCGTCACCCCGGCGTTGCCACGCCAGGCACCGGTCCAGCCATATACTCGCAGGGGCACATCACGCTGCCTTGCTTTGACACATGCGCGTTTCAATGCGTCCGGCGTCCCTCCGTCATGAAAAGAGAAGATACAGTGTTGTCTGGGTAACGAATTGGCATGAAATGCAGCATGTCGTATTTCGCACCGCTTGCCGTCGGGCCGCGCCGACGGATGCTGGTCGCGCCTGGCGTCATACTGGAGAGTTTTAGTACTGCGGAATGGTGCTACATACGCATCACGCAAGCGCCTTGCGTTACGTGGCGTCGTTTGCCACTAATCGGTTTTTAGTACGCCGTAGTACCCGCGTACGTAACGAGCGTGAAGCGTGTTGCGTCATTTGGTAGATCAAAATAGAAACAGGTGTTGTTGACAGCCAATGTGAGCCAATCCAAGTGTTATAGCCAGATTATGGCCATATTTTAAGCCACGGAGCCGGTCTGTGCTTGCCTTCGATGCCGCCATTTTGCAAAACGAGGTCTCGCGCTGTCGCGAACTTGTTCGAGAGCGGCGCGATCACCTCAGACGTACGGACGCACGCATCTCATGCGTGCGTACGTAGCGGCTGCGTACGTAATGCGATACGTGCGCGTTGTGGTCTGCGCATGCGCACTACGCAGGACGTGGCGTCATTACGTACGCAACGCCGCCACGTAAGCAGCGTACGCATTACTAAAACTCTCTACTATAAAAATGCTCACGTATTGCTAACGTAGCATGTAGCGTCGCTGTGCCCAGCGTGCGCGCGCGTCGACGATACGTTGGAGTATAATGAGCTCTTCATGATGCGCTTGCGCCTGTTTTGCTACCTCCACTTATACAAAATTTGGTGTTACGTGACGTCGATGGATAACGAAATTATATGACTGGTGCAAACATGATAATCCTGACACGCGTTTCATGTAAGAACACGACAACATACCTTGCTCATAGCGTGCTCGCGGCCGTTTCACTAGTTCCAAGTATACTAGTGTTTGGTATCACGTGACGTGAATAGATTACGAAGGTCACCAACACATTCGAACATGATAGTCATGACACGGAAGTCGTGTACGACATCATTCACCCCCAGCTTGTAACGCTGTGGTGATTTTAAAGTTACATATCAACATTTCTCATTCGTGCTGCGCATATCATCAATTGCCTCTGTACGTGGGATCTGCCAATTCTTTTCTATCTCTTCTTTGTTTTCGTTCTTGCTTTTTTTCATTAGTTTTCATTTTTACGTAAACACTCATGTTTCTTTTATTTAACGCCCTTCAATGGTCCTGTCAGGCATTTCAAGTTAACAAAGTGAACCCATTGATAATAAGAAGATGACGTGATCCGCAACGTCGTGGCATGAAATCAGATAAGAAAAAGACGAGTTGAATCATTCTGAAGGCCTTCTATTTGGTTTTAAGGCACCACTGCTACCACTACTGCTACAAGATGCCAAAAACAAGAAAATACTGCCGGTGGTCAGGAATGGCCTTTTGCCTGGAAAGACAACTGGCTGTAGAAGTATAGTCGTCACGGTTACGCCCATTCAACAAAGCATTGCGCCGATGGAGGCACGAGAATTGTGTTTCGTCGCAAAAAAATACTGCATCTTGTTCATTCGGTTCACTTTAGACTTCTTTTGCGAGCGATTTCAAAAATAAAAAGTCGCCATCTATAGGAGCCGAATCCAAGTTTCACTCTGAATAGAAATAATAGTGGGTTAAAACGATTTACACCGCAATATATATTGCAAGTATTTCGCTGACATGAGCATACTGGCAAAAAGAAAGTGTAGGAGCAGTCCCGATTAGGAGCAAAAACAGTGTTTTACTCACTTTTTCATAAAGTGCACTTGGCTTTCTCAAAAAAAAAAGAGAACACCACTTTTATTAGGTCGGTCTGAGACAATTGCTAAGTAAGTCATGTCAAGCAGCGCTCTATCGGTGCCTACAAGAACCAATGACTGGACGGTCACCTGTCTGAGGCAGTCATCATGTGACCTGATTGTTCTTGTCCTCATCATCACTCTTGCCGTCATCAGACACGTGCTCCGCATATTGCGTTCAATCGTCAAGCGCTGCATACCGAAAGATTTCACTAGAATTTATTTGGCCACATGGGGCGCAAAAAGTGACCAAAAACTGATTGGAGGCTATCACCGAAGGCTAGTTGCGGGTACAATGAAAAGTATGCGATTATTAAGGTTATAAAGCGATATATGTCAAGAACGTATACATGTTTCAGTGCACCATGCAGTTTCTCGTGAGTACAAATAAACATAGCATGATGAAAAACACACTGTGTATTACTTGTTTTCAATGTAAACGTATGGAAAATCAACATTATGAAGCTATAAGTTCACCCTATAGTTGAAAACATAAGAAAACACTTTATGGGTAAAGCAGTATTGAAAAGTTTCATCGACTTAGAAACATGAAAGACAATGTATCAATACTGTTAACTTTATGAAGGCTAAAAAAGCTTTTTTTTGACCCAATGAATTGCAGCCCAAGTTGTCCGTAAACATCCTAAGTAGGTTTAGTCGTGAAACGGCGTGAAAGACCAGAACAGTACAACCCCACTTAGCGCTACATGTGGTTGTAAGTCTGCCATTATTGCCCTGTCTCTCTGCTATTTTCCCTACTAGGTTTAACTACCTAGCTGACAATTTCAAGTTTACTGAATGCGCACAAAATATGCCGTGCTAGCTTCTTTTCTTACTTCAGAACAAGTTCCGGTGATCTTGTCCTCAAAAGGATGCCGATCTCCTCATAGGTCAAGAAGAACAACAGCTCGTGTGAAGGCAGTCTACCTTCTTGCACCATGCGATTTGAGAGCTGATGACACAGCAGTCGTAGTTGGTGGACCACGCGGACTGTTGCCGACTGAAACACATGAACACGGTATTGTCGAAACACAACTAGTGCACCGTATAGTGCAAAAAAAAAAAAGATCAATATGCAGGGTCGTCTTCACTACGAGCCTCACTTCAGATCAAGAAGGTGACCCTCAGAAAAAAAACTCTGCCTACGATACTGAGGGCATGCAACAATGCGATTGACAAAGAAGGTATATAGACTTTTTGCTATGTCTCTTGCACAGTGGCTTATAATGTCTTGCGTGAAGTCTGGTTGCCTATTTCGAAGCTTAATGCATTGCCAAGTGCGCAGCAAGCTCTAACCTTCAACCTTTGCAGTGTGATAGGAAGAGTTTTATTTCGCATTGTGTATTATGAAGCGCACAGAAGGGCTTCTCGGTATATGTTTACAAATTATTAGGCAGTAAAAAAAAAGCCTTTCCATGCTTGCTTCTGTTCATGAAATAATAAACTGGTTCTCATGGGAACAGCAGCGGCGAAAGTTTGTTCAGATTAGCAACGTCATACCACCTGCAATCTATTATTCACCGTACGTCATTACCATGAGTGATGAATATGAAAAGTTGCACGGCTTTCGTATGTTTTAAACAGAAACAAACCCTCCTCTGCTTTAATTGAGCAGCCCAGCTCCGTATTCAAGCATTTATCGTTTCTTCTGATCCGAAAAGGCTATTTACCTGTTTTTTTCTTTTTTAGAAAATCTTGTGTGGAAGAAGACTTCACTACATATTCAAGAAATTACAAATGTTACTGGGCTGGGACGTGGTCAAAGAGACCACACTATAGGTCCAAGATGAAACCATTTATTTGGCTGAACTTGTGGCCGGTGAATGGAAAGTCTGATTACAGCGATACATACTGGCACTGACAGCAGCGAACAGAACATCGGCCGATGAACTGATAAGTGGTGAAGCACTCCGGCATTTATACTTGTGCCGCTAGCGCCCACGTAACTTCTAGAATAAACTATAGTGGTTGCGTTGGGTGCGTAATCGCATCGGAAAGTTCTACTAGTATGTCAAATTTTCTCAGTCATTCGGTGTGATTTGCGCAAGACAACACTTACAGTGTAACGGGGCGATAACTCGAGGAATGAATGTGGCACTATTTCCCACCTAGAATAGGGTTATATGCATGAAAAAGGCATGACGCTTACCGCGTGTCGTGAAGCGCACAGCACGCTTATCACTGTGAACTAGCGATCGAATCCCGTGCATGCCGAAATCTCAGCGTAACAGTAGTTATGTCGCCACTAACATTGCAGGCTCACCTTTGTCGCCTCTCGTGCCTCCACCGCAGCTCGTGCCTTAGGCGCCACCAGCTTCAATATGAAACTGCAACATTGATGTAATACATGCAAGAGCAAATTTCGCTCAGCATTGTTCCGGTTAGTTCAACAGTTGATTAATAATAAAGGTGTTATTGTTATGTGAGCATCTGTTATCGGTTCTATAAATGCAACTCTGGACTGTTCGTTGGGCACACAAAAGCCCATTTGTCCTTGGTACCAGGAACCGCCCCCTCAACCACAGTGCACCTCAAATGGTGGTCTGTGAAATTCATTTTTTTTACGAAAGCACGCTTTTGTTTTCAGACACACACTGTCCTGCGACACACACTGTCCTGCGGTCCTTCTGGTTTCGGTATGCTTTTTTGTATAACAGTACTACACCGTGGCAGAGCTTGCTTATGTTTCCCCTTTTCTATGAGGTGGTTCCAAAGGTTTTGCTGCAATGGTGTTCGACGTATTTATGCGAGCATGCTTTTTTTAGGCTTTATGAGCAAACATAGCTGGAAACTGGTTACATGCAGTTGTAGACCGCTCCCCTTGGTCACAAGCTGTCAAGATCGAATAGGCGAGTTACGTGCATAGTTTCACCGTTTCTTGCCAGACCAAAATCAATAACAGACCCTCATGTATTCCACAGGTCCTCAAGTGATCAGCGAAATAACCATGGCTGAAAACCATTGCACTGAGTGATATAGCACGGCAGACCTAAAACTAATTACTCATACTACGCTCAAATGCATCACTGCAATGAAAAACACGACTCGCATATGGTGATCAGGGGGTACAAATGGCTCTCTCAAGTAAAACCCAGTGAGAAGCTCGCTCCGGTGGAGCTTTGAACATAGTGCGCCAGCTTTACGCAGCCTTTCGTTTCCGTCAATTTCTACAATAAAAGAAAAAAACCAATAGGCAATAAGGCCAAAGAACGTTCTTTATCTGCCTTTCAAGGAATTTGTACAACACGAAATGAAACGCGCCCTCGCAAAGGTAGTTAAGCATTCATTCTGCATTGTTTCTCCACAAGGGCGAAGTAATCAGTGCTGAACTAACAAATTACAATGTCACACCAAGAAAGACAAGCAGCTGCTAGAAAGTTGCAGCCCGCTCCTGAAGCATAAAGCACGCATGAAATGACCATACACAGGACGAACGCGGACAAACTGTCATAGCTCGATGACACTTATAGCAGGCTGCTCAAAACAGAAAGAAAGATGTGCGAAATGGGCGCACAAGTATAAAGAGGGCAAGTGCGAACTAATATTAGAATTCTTAATTCTTCGTGTGTAAGCAGCGCGCACCCTTTGTGTAGGCCGCTACAGTGGGCGACGTGTCATGCTCTCTTTAACCAGTGTAACTTGAAAGCAAACTTGCGGTGGAAGCGCAAGGGGTCCCAACCGCCCAAATCATTAGATAAACGTGTGCGCGAGCTGACCACTACGCTAGATAACATCTATGTGCACTTTGACGACGCCATGTGGAGGCGCACGCGCACAGTGACGCGCTGGGTGGCGGCGGTAGCACGAACTTGAGAGCGCGCGCCCCCAAGGAGTGCCCGTCGAGCCATCTCGCTACTGATTACAAAAACACGCTGAAGCTGCCGAGATCTGAGGACGGCCAGTGGCACTCGGTGTATATAAATAGCTTGCCGTTCCCTTATTACAGAAGGGACGCTTTGTGGGTTAGCGCTTAGCGCCACGCGCCGCGGAGCGCGAGGTCGTTAGTTCGACGCCACACTGCGGAACTTACCCTGCTAACGTTTTTTTCTTTGCGATCTCTTAGTGTTTTACAAAGCCTTATTCGTGACGGAAATACGCCTGGGAGCCACGGTAAACCTCGTCATAAAACACTTTCATGTGAGAAAAGCATAGCGGACTTCTTTTTTTTGCTGGTAACTGCAGTGAGTTGACGATCACCTCAACTGGAAGGAACTAAAGTGAAAGCAAAAGCACTGTCTGGCTTCACGTCAGTGAGCGAACCTCCGAATTGCTTGTCCGATGTTGTACCATATGAGATACGGCAGAGGGTGCTCCTTGTTCCACTTGGGTGTTTACGAGCGTTTAATCACTGGGAGTATTACCCAATGTGAGGAACACTTCTTTTGCCTGGGTGTGCCACGTGGCACGTTATCTTTACACGAGGTGGTAGCTAGTCAATAAATACTGGCGTGATATATAAAGCACTAACTCAGCCGGGACGATTGTCTCGCTTTAAAAGTGGGAAAGAAGAGGGAATCTTGGAGGAGTTGTTTTCTTTCTTAAGCGCGAGCAACAAAACGGACAGACTCCTAACTAAGTAAAGGAAAGCATAGAAGGTATCAATTGTCGCTTTTGACGGTAGTGTAATTATTGTGAGCAAAACTGAAGGGATATAAGGCGGTAAAATTAGGCACTTCTTCCTTCAGTGGTATCAGAAACCACAAACGGTTGTGAGTCCGAAGATTGTAGACTCGAAACCCGCTGAACAAAATGGTGATTTTTCATGCACTTTAATACCTTTAAATTTTGCGCACAATCGTGACGCTATATTAAAAAAAACAAATCTTCTCTCCTATGACCTTTTTGGCTTAAGTTCATTTCGGTTTGTGTCGAATAACGGGTCCCCCAAAGAATGCCCCTTCTTCTGTATAATCCACAGTATTTTTTTCACCATGACTATACAACGCATAAGCCGTGATCATATCCCATTTCGTACGAAAATAACTACAGGAACCAGCAGTGCAATGAGAGACTTGTTCTCGTTTTTCGTCGAGTGCAGTGCGCCCCCATCTAATTGTTGTTAGAACATGCAAGATAATGTTTTTTCTCTCACCCAAGCTGTAGTAGGGAAGCGAAATTGACATCAGAATATATAATAAATAAATGGCACTGCAGTAAGTACGCCATCAACCGCAGCTATGCATCCATCTCAGCCTTTGTGCAAAAACTTTGTTAGTACCGCTAATATGCACAGTTTGTAATGAACTACAAGGCATCAAGTTGGCAGCTTGCACATTTGCTACGCGGCATGGTTCTTTCCTACTGAAAAAAGAAAGCTACCTAATTACCTTCAACATTTCGTAAAGTAATAGTGAAAAAGAATTCAACCAGCTCCGCACCGTGGAAGCTGTCGAACAGCCAATCTACCAGCGCGTAAGTGTACGTAATGGTAGCCTAACACAGCCTATAGTCCAATTTCGGACATAATCATAACCATCATTATTTAGAGCATCATCATCGTGAAGATGGTCATCACTTTAGACACCACGGTCATTTCGCTTTATCCATCTCGAGCATCATTTTCATTGTCACCATTACCACCACTATTTAGTACCATCATCATTTCAAGCATCGTCATCAAGATAACCATAATTTCCAGCATCATCAATATTCGGTGCTATTCATTTCATTATTCACTCCCAGCTTTGTACTCGCCAATGACACCGGATAACGCATGCTCGACACAAAGCAGCTCTTCTGATAAAAAATCACTACGTTGCCTGCAATGCATCACTGAAATAAATCATGGTTTCTCAAAGCGGGTTCCGTGGAACCTAGGTGCTCTACAGGTCTCTTCTCATGGTTCCGGGAGCCAGTGACAAATTTTCCCTGGTTTTGCACTCACAAAGTCACTGGGATGGCGTACCCGAGAGGTACTCAATCTAAAAAACCTCCAGTACTCACACACATTTGGTGAAGCAAGAAAAGTAATTTCAATTGCACGTCAATGAATAAATTTTATATACCCTTACTTTTGAATTTTGGCACGTGATTACACGATCACGAAATATGCTTGCATGAAAGGGAAGCAGCAGTTACAGTTGCACGTGGTTACAGTTTGGCAGCATAGCTCTTGGTCTTCGCAGCACTTATATTTGTTCATTTACGCAGAGCAACTGGGCAACGCTGTTCACCGAAGCCGGCATCCGACATCGACCTCACCGAAAAGATACGCCTACCCTCAGCTGTCCACGTGGTATACACGGGAATCTGCAATATCTCGGCCGGGCTTCAAGTTTCAAGTTTCAAGTTTTATTATTTCCAAAAACAAGGTACAAAATCTAAGATATACAGACGAGGGTCCCAGAGCCAGAGACTTTAGTGGGACCCTCAGTTTGTCGATACAAATCGATGGTAAAATTTATACAGAGCAAAAGAAAATTCTTACAATATACGGACATCAAAATGCACTTTTATATCACAAATCAAGCCAAAACATGCAACATGGTATGAAAAAAAAACAAAGAACAAACGAGTCAAACAGGTAAACGATCACAAGTAAGGTTATTCGAAAAATGATTTTTGACGGACTTTTTGAACAAAGGAATTGAAGCGCGACGCTTAATGCTAGAAGGTAACGCATTCCGAAAGGGTATCGCACTGAAAGATCCGCTTTTGAGGCCCTGCGCCTCCGCGGGGACTTGTCAGCGACGTCACCCGAGAAAACTACAAAAGCGGGCTTTCCTGTGTCGACCCCTCAGTTTGGCAGCAGCGCTCTTGGTCTTTGCAGCACTTATATTTGTTCATTTACGCAGGTGAGCGAAACCTCTCCTATAGTGTTTTCTCGGTAGACCATTGCGCTGCTGTTGGGCTGTAGGTCTGTGTTTGTATATTTGAAGTTGACTGTTTTCATCATGACAAAGGGGACCACGAAAGCTTTCGATGATTTCCACCATGAAATGCGTGCCGAACTAAGAGACATACGCGAAAGTGTAAAATTTTGTAGTGAAGGCTGTGACAACGTTAAGCAACTGTCAGATTAAATTAAGCTGCCCCGTGAAGAGCTGCAACATGCTAAACAAAAAAATGACCAACTTGAAACAGAAAACAAGAAATTGCAACCTAAGGTTGATGAGCTCGAGCAGTACACTTGTGTAAATAACTTGGAAATTAAAGGTGCCCCTAGTAATGAAGACCCAATGGAAATTGTAAAGAAGCTTGGCGATGCCATTGGGGAAGAAATCTTGCCATTAGACATAGACACGTGTCATAGAATACCTGTTGGCAGATCTGGAGACAAGAGTGTAATCGTTCATTTCGTCCGACGTGACAAAAGGAACGCTGTCTTAACTAAAGCCCGAAAGAAAAGACCGTCTGCCAAAGATGTGAGTTTCAAATCAAATGAACCCATATTTGTGAATGAGAACTTAACCAAACACACGAGGCAGCTGCTCGGCTTAGCAGTTGCTAAGAGGCGAGAAACAAAATGGAAGTTCGTGTGGACAAACGGTGGCAAGGTGTTTGCACGCAAAACAGAGTCGTCTGAGATTCTTAAGATTGTTGAGCCTGCAGATGTCGCAAAAATGACAATGTAGACTATCCAATCAAGCCTTACACTAACGAGACTTCGAAATGGATCTTGTCAATAGCCAGTACTATGACATAAGCGGTTTCAACAAGCTGGTTAATCAAAGCTCGCACAATTTCAGTGTCCTGCATCTAAACGCTCGAAGTATCAAGAACAAAAAAACTCTTGATGTGTTTCTCGGCTCTTTAGCCATAAAGTTTGACGCTCTAACATTTTCCAAAACTTGGTTAACACCAAATAATGTCCCGCCAAGATTTGCTGGTTATACTTACAGTGGCTTGGTAAGTCATTCCGGTCGAGGCGGAGGCATCGCTGTGTACGTCAAAGAACAACTAAATCATGAAATAATTGATGATCTCTCGTACATTTCACCGGGATAAAATGCCTTGTAGTGAAAGTTATTAACGTATTTGTTGTCGTGGTGTATCGGCCCCCAGCTGGTAAAAAGCAAGAATTTCGTGACTGCATAGATACTCTCTTACAAAAGCTACACACAATGCGCATGCCTTTTTTAATTATCGGTGACGTCATCGTTAACATGCTAGGCGATTCTCCCAGCTCTAAACAACTTCAGTCGGTTTTGAAATCATACGCACGCGCAAACACGATAACAAGGCCTTGTCGCATATTGGAAAAGTCTCAACGCTGCTTGATATAAGTGTCACAAATCTTTCAAGCAGAAAATGTATTTCAGGGTTATTGTCATACGATGTAAGTGACCACCTACCCATATTTTCTCTTTTATTATTATGTTCAACACAAAATAAAAAGCAGATCGTGGAACAATATCGCAAAATGAATAATAGCGCACTAAACCGATTCTGAGCTGAAGTTGCTTCGACGAACTGGATTATAGTGTGCGCAGAAAGAGATACAAGCCGGGCTTTCGACCTTTTTTTTGAGCAACTTAAGAGCATATATGACCGCGCCTTTCTTTTAACCAAAAACACTTCGAAGAAGAAGAGAGGCAAGGCGTGTAATAACAACGCACTCTATGACCGAATACAAGAAAAAAACAATATGTATCACACGTTTGTAAAATATCGCGATTTATCACTTCTTGAAGGCTACAAAAAGTTCCGCAATAAGCTAAATGTTGACATCAAGCAAGCCAGGATATCATATTATCAATACACATTTGAAAAAAATCTACGATAACCCCAGGAAAATGTGGAATGAGGTAAATAACTTAACTGAACGTAACAAAAAAGGTTATGTTAATATCACTGATTTTGCAGACGATAAGGCAGATGTCGAAGCACTATCAGCCATGAATGAATACTTTGTTAACGCTGGCGACTACACAGACTCATCTTGTGGGGTAACAGATCCGCCTGTAGCAGATAGAGAGCGTCTATCACACTCACTCTTCCTTACTCCGGTTACACCTTGTAAAGTTGAAAAATTATTCTGTAAAATACGTGACAATGTTGCTGAAGGCGTTGACGAAATAGCAGCCAGCCCGATAAAATATGTAGCGTCACTAATTTCACACCCTCTTTCATACATCATGAACACTTCGTTAGAAACCGGCATTTTTCCTTCAGAACTAAAAATAGCCAGCGTTTGTCCTATTCATAAAGGGGGTGCCAAAAATGTATTATCGAACTACCACCCAATATCGGTTCTACCGGTACTCTCCAAAGTTTTTGGAGGAATAATACACTCCGGACTTGAATGCTTCTTCACTAAGAACCTGATAATGAATAAAGCACACTATGGGTTTCAAAAGGGTAAATCTACGGAGTCGGCGCTATTAGATACGAAAGAGGGGATATTAAAAAACATAGAAAACAGAACCTACACCATAGGTCTTTTCATTGACTTCAAGAAGGCCTTCGACACAGTGAAACATGATATTCTGATATCTAAGTTGCATGATCATGGTGTGAGGGGCGTGGCAGCTAAACTAATGAAAAGTTATCTTACCAAAAGAAAACAATATTTTAAGGTGGGAAATCTTGTTTCCCCAATAGAAACTAAAAAATTGTGTACCGCAGGGTTCAATCCTTGGACCGTTACTATTTATAACATATATTAATGATCTGTGTGACATTCCACGATCCCTAAAATTAATTATTTACGCTGATGACACCAACATATTCTTTACAAGTAGAATACTCATGCACCTTGAAACTGAAGTAAATGATTACTTAGTCAAATTAGAAAAATGGCTTTATCAAAATAAGCTCATGCTTAATATATCTAAAGGTAAGTACATAGTATTCCACCCTATCAACAAGCCCTACGAGGACGACATTAACATCTATTTCAAAAAGCAAAGGCTTGAGCAGGTTATATCACAAAAATTTCTGGGAGTGTGGTTCCATGAAAATTTGTCTTGGAATACCCATGTTGATAGTCCCGCATCCGAACTAAGTAAGACTGTTGGGTGTATATTTAAAATAAATCCACTTATGCCGATTTGGCTAAAAAAAAGATATACTACGCTCTTTTTTATTCACGTTTGAATTATAGTATGCTCGCATGGGGCACTGCAAGTGAGAAAAATTTAAATAACCAGAAATCTTACAGAAAAAAGTTCTCTGCCTATTCGATGATTATTATGGCAAACCAAGGGAGATGCCTATCGGTCCACTATTCATAAAACATGCTATACTCAAAGCAAGACAGCTGTATGAATATAAGCTATTACTTTACATTTATATAAATAAACTCCACAATATTACGGCACAGGAAGGCGCACTCAAATACTCACTCCGTAGGCAACAAATTCGCGTTCCTGCTACTAGGACTGGATATGGTAGAGCCCTAATTGCATACCGCGCCCCACAGCTTATAAATCATTTGGGTGAACAATTAAGTTTTAACTTCTCATTAAGGCAATTCAAATATCACATAAAACATCTCCTAAATAATTGAGTATAGTAAACATCATGTTTCCAATAAACTTCTGGCTACGTTCCACATATACTCTCACCTTTAGGTACAAAACGCGTGTATATACAGTAGTATGTACGTACATATGGGCAGATGTATGTATGAGTATATGAGTGTATTATATGAATATATCAATATGTAAGTATGTGTTTTTTGGATATGTAATAAAAAGAGCCTCGATGTCTGATTCTGTGTGTCTATGCAGCCTATTCTTTGTACTTATATGCCACCTATTTTTCCTTTTATGCTATTTCTGTGTTCTATTATGCTGCTTCTTGTATTGTGATAATTATTATTCATTGTAGCTCTGTTTGCTGAACTTTTATCATTCTGCGTAGCGAAGCCACGTCAGGCCGAATGGCCTTTAGCTTCGCTTCGTTTTTCTGTATCTCTCCAGAAATAAAATCTGTTCATTCATTCAAAAAGAAAAACCTCCAGTACTCACACACATTTGGTGAAGCAAGAAAAGTAACTTCAATTGCACGTCAATGAATAAATGTTATATACCCTTACTTTTGAATTTTTGCACGTGATTTCGCGAGCGTGAAATATGCTTGCATGAAAGGAAGCAGCAGGGGTACGGGGAATGGTATATTTCTTGCTACTTTGCAGAGCATTCCAGGATTGCCTGTCACTGGCATGCTTGAGAGCCCCTGGTCTAGATCATAGATTGAACCTTCATACAGCCATGAGCTAGTCTATTAAAACCGAAAATGAGCAAGTTACGTTTGCCCATTTTAAATAATGGTAAACTTGTTGTATTAACTGTCTAGCGTGAAGCAATTTTGTAATTTTTATCGACTGCAACAGCACCCGAGCTCTTACCCTGTGCAGTTTCGCATTGGAACAGTGACGAACTGTTCCTTTCACTTGGAATAGAAATAGAGAAATAGAAGAAAACCAAGCAGCCGGATGAGAATTTCCGGTTAACTATTTTGCGCTGGGAGAGAGTAAGAAGTGTGGTCAAACAAGGAAATAGAAGAGGGAGCCTACTGCCTGAAATCGGGAACGAATATCACACCTTACCTCTGAAACATTGAAAGTCTGTAGGGAAACTGAGAGGCGTCCCAACGGGAAGGTGCTGTCTGCTTCATCTCAGGAGCCGCTGCTGCTGCCTGGATCCAAGAAAGAAAAATAACAAAAACGTGTGGTAATTATACAAACTTCCTGTGCGATAACAGTTGTTAATAGCCAGAAGATTAATACATATCTTCTCTACGTAATGCAGTGCCGAAAGGGGCTTGTGAGTTGTTGGAGCGTGGTATATGGGAATAAAAGTAACTGCTAAAGCGTTTGACTTTATTGTCTAATATGCTACTGGGGATAAAAGTTACGCGCAGAGAAGTAATTCTCTTAATCAATCTTATATGTGCCTCAGGAATATCGTGATATCCATCACAAGGCTCGTCGCGTCACCGCTACACACTCACAATCACGCCAACTTTGTAGCGTGTTAAATTGCCAACCACACGCGTAATTTTCATATGCTTCCTTATTAACTTAGCCTAGACTACTTGAAGGTGAGAGCCATCTTTCTCTTCTGGTGTTTCTCCTTGGTCTGTAGTGTCGATCCTTTGCGCTCGACCTTTTTTGCGAATTCTCCCAGCACCGCACGTGGTGCAAGAAGCCTCCGGAGTCGACCCACCTTTCACCAGGTCAAGTAGTCACGCACATGTAACGAGAGGATATCATTTCGATGCCACAAATGTTGGCAATTTGTGGCGTCATTATAGCAACGTCGGGTGACGTGATTCGTTCTGTCATGTCTCAGTGAGGTCTGACACTTTTGGTGTACCAAACGACGCACTTTCCGTCACTAGGGGCCGACGAAGTGGATTTTCTTTCTCAAGGCTGCAGAAGACAAGTTTACTTGTCTAAAAAGGATGGCTCGAGCACCCACCCCGTGTTTTTTAATTTCGCATTGCAAGCTTCTATTTTCTCTTCTTTGCCTTTGTTTTGGATTTCAGTGACTAAGTATCATCACGCTCACTTTTCATTCATGTGACTACGTTTTTTTTTCTTCAGTGGTGTTGACACGGCCGGCAATGCTTCGCGAACTACCGTCAGGTCTTGTCAAATCACACAAATTTTTTCAACTCACGAAGCATATAAGACCTCGCCTTAACAGCAATGTATCATATTATCCTGACTTTAAACGTGTCCCTGAAACGTTCCCTCATTAGTATTTTCCTCAATGCTCATTCTGTGGTGAAGACAATAATATAGCTTATTACGATAGTAACTATATGATCAATCAAGGCGCAATGTTTGCTGTCACCGTTACATTCCGTATACCGTCCTACTTGAAAGCATCGGCCCGCTAGCCGAAGGTTCTACGTACAAGTGCGAGTGAAACCTTGCAAAGGCTACACGGAGGCGCCGCTCAAAACGTATGAAACGCGATGGAGGCTCCGCCAGAAGAAGAAACACATAAAATTGGGGCATTGGAGGCAGGTAAGGGGGGACGTCCGTCATTTGCGCAGCAATTACGAACTTTGCTCAAAAAATGTCGACGCGCGGGCTGGCTAGCGCACTATCTTGACAGAATACAGTAGACGGCTTCCGCGGTGCGTATTATATTTCGGCCATTTTGCGTTGAAGTGACCGACAGCATGAAAAATACTCTGATCAGGGGAGTGGCCGTATGCTTGTAAGGCAACGTTATCCAAAGTAGCTCGAGGTAAGATCCTAACGAAGTTAGCTGCCAGGCTTAGCTAGTGTAACACTTTTTTGTTCTCGTATTTATCGGTTCGCCTTTGTCATGAAACTGTGACTTTTTCAGCCTTGAAGCAATTTCGGCATTTCTTACCTTTAAAGATTTCAGAAGTGACGATGGATCCAACGCCCACGGCTTCGTGTAAACGTCGAACTGAGCAAAATAAAAAGAAACATGTGCCTATTTGGATATATAAGCAAATATATTGTATATGCACACCAGTTGTTTATAACCTATAGGTTCCGATTTCTTAGAGATTCTGACAAACTCAGTAGATCATTTTCTGAAACACCGAGTACACTGAAACACTCAACGATGTGTGTATTTTAATCGAATCGGAGCCAGGCCCTCATTACGTGGCAATTACCTAAGAAAAAATATCGGTATTATTTTCCTGATAACTGAGCTACAGAGAGGGCACTAGTCTTACAACATTCGTGCTTTGCCCCTAATTTCGACAATTGTGAAAAAGTCTGCATTTGCGAAAAAAGAGAAGTGTTGAGTGTGCTGTTTACATCGCACAGCCTCCATGGATCTTATATAGAGATTGTTTTATTCTCTGTGTTGAGATGTTGAAGAGTGCAATATCATCAACATATTTTTTACATCAAACTGTGGAAGTGCAACTATCACTGAACAGCAAAAAAGTGTAATGTACTCTAGAAATGATATGAACTTACACATAAGCACAACCTAAGCATGCTCGAATGCTGCTCACAAGTGGCGGCTCAACGCTTTCACGAAAACAATGCTTTAATTAGGCGTTCATGCATAGACAAGTGTTTCGAGAAATTTAATATAATTTAAAAATACTAAAAGAAAGTATCTGTGTGGCACCTGTAGCATACTTTTAGTGTGGCATAGCGCATCTCCTGTTGCTTACAAACATTAATTACGGCTTGTTTATGGAAAGTAACACCATCACCTTTTTAACCAGTAGAAATAAGCGGCCAGGTCAAATGAGCCATTTCAATTTCTTGCTGCGAATAGTTCATAGCCATTTTGAAGTTTCTGAAAGGCGGCCAGTGATAATCCTCGCGGGGCGATGAAATCTGGCTAAATTACAGGCAACACCAAAAATAGCGTACGAAACTACGCATCTGCTATTCACCCCAAAAATTCCTTCAATGATGACCCTGTTTCTTTCGCATCAAAGGAGAAGGGTAAGTGAGCTTCAATAAGCGGCCTTACGACAGGAAATCGCTGCAACACAAATCAAAGTATGTAGATTGAAAGTTGATAAAGGCGAGGAATACAGTGTCATCATTGAAAGCAGTTTCGGAGTGAATGGCAGATGCGCTGTTTTGTACGTTATTCTCGGTATTGCTCGTAAATTAGCCAGATTTCATCCCCCCGCGGTGATTACCAGTGGCCGCCTTTCAGAAACTTCAATATGGCTATGAATTATTCGCAGCAAGAAATTGAATTCTCTCATTGCACCCGGCCTCTTATTCCCACTGGTTAAACAAGTAATTATGTTACTTTCTATAACTACAGCTGTAATTTTGTTTTAGGTATCTGATAATGCATTCTCATAATTGATGTTACGCCACAGGTAGCACGTCGATACCTCCTCACTGTAACTTTTTAATTATATTGGACACGTTTTTTGGAATACCCTTTACATAAAAAATAAGTGGCGTATTTGTTTCCTAATATATTTATTACCAATCACATGTTAGGCTTTAAAAATCTATAGATAAGCACAAATTAGTATGTTTTTGTTGTACGGATTCAAATGCCTCTTTTTTATTGTATTGGATATAAAATGAAGGTTATTCGAATGAGTGTGTTTTAATAGAATTTGAATGGTACCTCCTTAACGGCCCGATGGCCATGCTTTTGGATGAACTCCCGATACTTCTTTCCGCAGTCACTTTCTGTAGTTGACAGCCAATGACGGGCCTCCTGTCACACAATGAATGGTATAATTGGTAGACAAAAATCAGTGTCCAGCTATCACAACCCACAGAGTGCACACAGCTGCATCATTTGAATTTCAACAGCACCGCATGTCAAACACACATAAGCTACATTTCTTCAGTGAATATTACTGAAAACGCGATGCTCAAAGAACAAAAGACACGACACTGTAGTTACGATAGTTATAGCGCGAGAACAAAACGACGACACAAAGACAAGAAGGACACGGAAGACACGTGTCTCTGTGTCTTCGTTTTGCCTTCTTGTCTTTGTGTCGTCGTTTTGTTCTCGCGCTATAACTATCGTCATGCCATATCAACTAGCCCAAGCTGCCACACTGTAGTTACGCCGTATGCTTAAGAACGGGAAGCGCCGAAGGTGTTACAGACAGTCTTAGCGTTAGCAAATAATCTGTCAATAGTTCCACATTAGACATAGACTGTTCGCTGGTTTACTGTTATAACTACGCGTCAGTGCCGTAAATAATCATGATGAGATTAAAGCGTTATTTGGAATGAAAAGTAAAGAAATGCCCAGTTATGCAGTGATCCCGATTCTAACTGAAACTTGTAGAATTGTTCTCACTTAGGTTGGTTTCCGTGCTTATCCTGCTTGTCACTTATGCTCTGGAATTCTCAAATACCACCGAGAAGCACATTTAACGACACTCTCAGACGCTATAATCCCTTGTTACACAATCTCATCAGAATACGTTAAACAGGCCCCTCCGCGGTGGCCTAGTGGCTAACGTACTCGGCTGCTGACCCACAGGTCACGCTATTGAATCCCGGCAGTGACGGCTGCATTTGCGATGCAGGCGAAAATGTTGTAGACCCGTGTGATCAAACGTCGGTGCAGATAAAGAACCCTAGGTTGTCAAAATTTCTGGAGCCTTCCACTACGGTGTCTTTCATAATAATATGGTGGTTTTGGGACGTTAAACACCACATATTAATTAATACGTTTAACAGCCCCATGTGATTCAAATTATTACGCAAGCCTTCACTACAGCCTGCTTCATTTGCTATGCATCTTATTCGGGATGTTAAGCAGCACGCTTCGACCTCATCAAAATTTTGTAATTTTCAGCTTTTCTTTGATAAGCAACAACATCATTTGCACACAAGAAAAGAAACAGAAGGCAAGTTGGGGAAGCAAGTTGATACGACTTCAGGACTGTTCAAACGGCATTTCCGATGGAGGCGGAAATGTTGTAGGCCCGTGTGGTCAGATTTGGGTGCACGTTAAAGAACGCCAGGTGGTCTAAATCTCCGGAGCCCTTCACTACGGCGTCTCTCATAATCATGTGGTGGTTTTGGGACGTTAAACCCCACATATCAATCAGGACTGTTCAAACTGCGAGGAACGTAGCAAGAGTGCAAGTATAAGGAAAGACCCAAAGCATTTATCTTTACTTTCTTGTTCTTTCATCAAGTCCGCGACAACGTGAACAGTCATGAAGGGAAATGATTAGATGGTCACATCTGTTCAACAGATAATGATACAAATAGTAGCGTAGGAGGCGTTGTTGTTCTTTGCTATTTAAATGTATTATTTATAACACAAAACAAAATGATGGTTATCTTAATATATATAACTAATGCGTAACTGTGACAGCAACCTGTCTGTTGAAATTTATGAAATATTGAATTACGCAGCAGTGCACTAGTCATTTTTTTGTGCTATTGAACAATAATGTAACGGGTGTTCGCTGAAAACCATTTACCTCTGTTGTCATCTTGAGGAACTTCTCTTTTTCTGGAGACTCTCTAAGAACATGACCTAGAACCTGCGGTAAAAGTTCAACAGCAAAAGACGGCATTATGTCAGTTGTCACAAAAAATTATGAAGACCATTCGGGCTGTTTTCCTTCTTTTTGTTTGCACCTATTTGTAAATCATATTTAAGGAAATACTAAAGAGAAAGAATCACTTGGTTCATAATGACAAGTTGCACTGTGAGAACTCTGATGCCACGTGTTTGACTATCAGACGTTCATTATCAGCTGCGAAAATCATGGTTGAAGTTTCATTTCTAAATTCAACACCAAACTATCCACGTGTGGCATCAAAAGTTTTAAAATGCGTTTTCGTGTTTTCGAGACATTTGCTTGGCGAAATTCTCTGAAACTTCTTATGCTAGGTAATGGCACCCCCAGATCAGAGTGTGCCTTCATTTTATTTATTAAAAGCTATGGCGCGCCCACTAGACACCTACAAATTCTGTGCCGTCAAGGTGGTTGTGTGAGGCCATCTCGAAATAGCGTCTCCAATCATATTTTCTTTTCACGCCTTTTCTCACTTACGATGCGTCGTGTCGCGGTAAGAGTGACTGTGAAATGGAAGTTTACTAATACGAGAAAAATTGTGTATCCCTTTAGTGTCGCTATAATAAAGTTCTTTGTAACTGCAAGTATTGGGCATGGCATGCCGTGCTAAGCAGACTGAAGAATTAAACACTGTCTGACAGTTTTACAATGAAATATACCCCATTTATTGACGTCGTTCAACACTTCTTCAAGAAATCAGTTTTTCGTCCCGATGCGAGGTGCGGCAGTCTCGTTACCGACGGTTTCTCATCAACAGGAACCGTAATAACAGCGTTCTACGCAATGCACGGGTGGCGTTTTTAACCAACCGACAGCGTTAGAGCAGTGGTAGATCAGTGAAACGAAGTGGTAAACTATGAACAATGTCATCTGGAAATGGTGTTTTAGCGGATGGTTTACATTTACAAGCACCTGTTATGAAGTGTTTGCGAATTCATCCTGCAAAAACTGCCTGCACTAAATACATCTCTGACCTAACAAGTTTCTGTGCAAAAAACTTGTAGCAGAACACGATTTGAAGTCGTGTTTTCTGTACAAGATTAACTTAAAGTTTAGATTTAAAAGGTGTAATAAAAATCGACAAAGCAATATGTAATTGTGCAGAGCTTTACCAATCAAAGCACCGGGATAGAAATATATCGACCATTTTTCTCGGAATTTTTATTTCGCATTGCACGCTTGCTTCGCACAAATCGTCCTCACTATAAGTGTCGACATGAAATGCGGCTGAATTATCAATCACTATTTTTAAATGATTTTTGAGCCCGAGAACTTGAATACGCCTGGTATATATTAGCGGCTAACATGTTCAATGTCCTTCTATTAAACCAAGGCATATTTTTGGGAGGGGGGGGGATTCTTAGGCTTTGCCTTTATGAGTTGAACGTGATAGCTCTGTTCTAATTTTAGTGCGTACTTCAAACACTTAATGTATGAAATCTTTCCGACCTTGCTGTGCACTCACTACGTGACTTAAAGGGGCCCTCTAACACTTTTAAACCCCCCATTTTTTACTCGTGGACTGCATAGACTGAGGCATGGACATGGATAAATTAGTGCAGCAAGAACGGCAGCGATAGCGGCACGCAGTACGAAGTTATTCAATTTTAAAAAATTCAAAATACAAAAAAATACCAACCCCTCAACTCGAATTTCGCGGGGTGACATGACCACATTTCACCCTCTGATGTGACGTTGCAGGGGGCCTCCAATGGCATGGGCTGAAAGCTCTTACGTAGAGGAAGCTCATACACCATTTTTGCTTGTTCAGTCAAACGTGTTTATGAGGCTGTTCTATAGCAACAGGCAACGTGGCGCCTGACCCCGCCGTTTTGTTTAAACGGTCGAACAGCTGGGTGAGGCTGGTAGAAATGAGCCTCCTCGACTTGTCAGAGCTCGAGCAGGTCCTTTTGCTTCGGAGCGAGGATTTACGCATCCTGTGATCGGCTGAGCTCATCGTCGTCATTTCCGCTCGCGTAGTTTTAGTGAGCGCCACTGTGCGCCGACGCGGTCGGCAGCAACGAGGTGACTTTATTGCAACATTAAAAATACTAAATGATTTGATATCGGTGCTTGCACCTATGCTAAAATTATCCCCGCCATCGGTCTACGCTAAACACATAAAAAAATAGGTGCTTCAAAAGTGTTGGAGCGCCCCTTTAAAGGTGCAGTAGCATGAGTGCCTTTTGTAGTGGCTGGCTGGCTTTAAACTGTAAAGTCAATATGACGATGCCTTGTTCTGGCACCAGATAGCAGTGTACGCTTGAACCACGCATTTTTATGGCAATATTTTATGTTCTATTGTGAAGCATGTATACAGAACGTGTGTGTTGGTAAAGCATGACAATTACTTTCACAGCGTTTGTTTCCCAGCAGAGGAGGTTATTTTCTGTGTGTTCACAAGAAGAGTTGTGGCTGTGCCAGTCCGGCATAGCCACGCCTCTGCTTGTGAACACAGTGGAAATAACTTCTGCTTGGAAATGCAGTGGTACCACGCCTTGGTAAGGTGCCTAGCCTACCCACTTTTCTTGTGAAGAACATGAAGAAGCCTCCCAAGACAATAGGACTTCGGTCTTCGTGTTTCTTTCTTAGCAGTGCTTGAACATTTACTGCCGCTGTAGGACTCCAACAGGGCAACTCAGTGCATTACTGTGTACCATTTTTATACACATTCTATTAAATTCCAGTTTAAATGCTTGTGCACTAGTTGTGCAAATATTGTCGCTGAATGAATGCATCCCTATACGTCAAAGCAAACGCTACAATTTTGAATACGCATTATAATAAATATCACGAAAAAAAATAAAAGATACAAGCGTGGCTGTGTGGTATAACACCCGCTTGCCACGCAAACCACCCGGGTTCGATCCCCACTCAGAGCCAGAATTTTCATTATTAATTTCTTTGCATCTTTCTCAATTTTGCGGTAACGGAAAGATGATTGTTCGTTCACAACCAATGACGCGGACACCGATGCCGGAAAGTCAACCAAACGAGCCCTTTTACGTAAAATAAAGATTTGACTATACGCATATGCCGATGACCATCCCACATGTAACGATCAACCTGAGCATGGTATTGCTTTTTTTTTCTCTTATTGCCTAAAGCTACTACCACACCTTCATTATGGTATACGTTGGAGGTTTATATTTAAAATATTTTAAAATAATTTATCACTATATTAGTGACATTTGTCGCAAAGATTGTAGCGCATGCTCTAGCTTACCTGGATCATTCGTGGCACATCAGCACTCTCCGCGTCTGTTCCCTTCAAGATCTTGGACAGCTGACAGAAAACTTCGTTGTCGAGTGCTACATAAAGAAAAAGGAGATTTCGTTCACCATGATTTCGAGAATCAAGCATTGATCTTATACCACTGTAAACCGTCTCCACGTCAAACAATTGAAAAATGTTCAGTATAATTGTATTTTTAATGTAAATTCATAATTTCCAAAGTTAACTTTCTGATGAATAGTTCTGCTGCTGAAGTGCTGAATTGCTCGTTTTACTGGTTATTCTCAAGTATAAGTTGCAGTGACTTAAGGTAAGAAGAACTGCAAAGGTCTTAGCCTTATATTTCATGCAGCCGCAACCTGCGAGAAGACGTAAAACTAGAACCCAAATACTTTGTTGCGCTGCAGTCTCGGCCACGCGAAAGGTCGATACAATGCCGGAGTTCATTTAGTACCGATAAAGTTTGGAAGCACACAGGCCGCTGTCCCTTTCCCGTGGTTTGGTCGCCGTGAAGAGATGTTAAGAGGCGGCTCCTACCGTCTGAGGCTGCCCTCTAGAACCAGTGGCACCGAGATTCGTACGGCTCTGTGCTACCGAGTAATGCTATGTTCTGGCACTGCTGAAATATGAAACACCGCAGACATGACACAATCTTGCTCGAGGCTGCAGCAGGCACATGCGACGACACCCACAATCAAGCACTATTCTGTATACCTACGAGCTATGGGGGTGGAAAATGGCAGAAGGCACTTGCACAAAACAAGCGGGTAGTAAACTATACCAAAAAGTGAGGTTGCTGCGCAAGTAACTATATTTTTTTCTGTGAATATGTTAAGCCACGTTATAATTAGAAGATACGCCATGTGCACGAAACAGTGTGACCTAGCGTTTTGTAAAGATACAAGTGCAAAGGTTCGGTTAGGTTAGGTTTTTTTTCTGTGAACGTGTTAAGCCACGTTATATTTAGAAGACACGCCGAGTACTGTGCGCTAACCATATGTACGTACGTACCTCCTTTGGCAGTGCTTAGAATGCGAAGAATGAGGACGTTGTAAAATGAAGATGACAGGGCTGCCTTCATCAGAAGAATAGAAGGCTGCAAATTAAAGCCAGAAGGTTTCCGTTACACATATAATAGGTCATAGTTGAACACTACGAAAAACGAAATGCGTCAGTAAAAATTCATGCAAGTTACAATATTCTGCATTTTAGTGAAAGGAAGATTACTTTGGCAGAAGCCGTTGGTGTTCTGCCGATTTACCTCACGCAGCTCGTGTAAGGCACGCCCCATGAAATCATATATCTGCGCTGCTGTCGCTGTATCATCAATTTTGAGGTGCAGATCAGCCGTTTTCTTTGAAGTGCTTTCCACGCCGCTGGTGACGGTGAACATCGTCTGCGATGAAAGGAATACAGCGAGTAGAGGTTGAGTTTGTTACAATAAGGATTCTTAGCTTCAACGTCCCAAAATCAAGATATGATTATCAGAGACGCCGTAGTGGTAGGTTCCAGAAATTTGACCAACTGGGGGTTCATCAGTAGAAGTCCACAAATACTGAAAAATGGTTTATTGCGACAGCAATCATATAAACCCTCTCGGCTGATTTTTGCCGCCACCATGATGTCCCATGTATATATATTTATATATATATATATATATATATTCATGAGACATATATGACACTGTTACTGACACTTCAAAACAGTCATCCTTACGAGCCAACATAAACTGCCTCCGGAAATGGTGTGAGCGCTGGCTCATGGAACTTAACCCGAGTAAATGTAAAGTCGTGTCATTTCATCGGCGCCACATGCCGCTTGTGTATCCGTACGCAGTTAATGCCATCCCGTTAGAAAATGTTCCGTCATACAAGTATTTGGGCGTCACTCTTTGTAGCGATCTTTCATGGAACATACACGTCACTAATATCATTTCATCTGCAAATAAAACACTGGGTTTTCTTAAACGCCATTTACGCCTCGCTCCACAACACGTAAAATTACAAGCATACAAATCCATCGTTCGACCTAAACTAGAATACGCATCGCCAATTTGGGACCCTCAACAATCTTATCTTACACATGCCATCGAATCGCTTCAAAACCGGGCCGCTAGATTGATTCACTATTCATACTCTTCAACTGTCAGCGTATCTGGATTGAAAGCAGAATCTGGTCTACCAGATCTAGAACTTCGCCGTCGTATTGCCAGCCTGTCATTGTTCCACAAGCTTTTTCATAGTCCCTTGCATGCCCAACCTTATATCGTTCCCGCAACTCGCATATCTCACCACACGAGCCATTTGCTTCAAGTTGCTCGGCCACGCTCCCGGACTTCTACTTTTTCTGCCTCGTTTTTTATACGTACCGCACCAGACTAGAACGGCCTTCCCAGTGATATTGCAACCATTCTCTACCCATCATCGTTCATAGAAAATATCAGTAAGCACTTTTTATGTTAAATCTTTGGCTTCTATGTTTTGTGTTTATAATTACCCACCCCTTATGTAATACCCCCTCGCGGTTCTTTATTATATATAAGTATATATATATATATATAAATATATATATATATATATAAATATATATATATATATATATATATATATATATATATATATATAATTGATTTGACTGATATGTGGGGTTTAACATCCCAAAACCACTATATGATTATGAAAGACGCCGTAGTGGAGGGCTCCGGAAATTTAGACCACCTGGGGTTCTTTAACGTGCACCTAAATCTGAGCACACGGGCCTACAACATTTCCGCCTCCATCGAAAATGCAGCCGCCGCAGCCGGGATTCGAACCCGCGCCCTGCGGGTCGGCAGCCGAGTACCTTAGAAACAAGACCACCACGGCGGGGCAATATATATATATATATATACATAAGGGAAAGAAGTGTATACCTAAGGGCTCGTTTTTCCGTGTTTTAACACAATACTAATGAGATATAACAGACAGTAATGCCAAGGAATGTACAGGGGAAGTTATTAGAACCAATGGAATGTAAATAAGAAGAAAGAAGAAAGAAAAGTGGATGAAAAAATTACCAACTGTGAGCAGGAATCGAACCTACGACCATCGAACCTACGAGCATCGAACGCGTAATTCGAAGGTCGTAGGTTCGATTCCTGCTCACAGTTGGTAATTTTTTCATCCACTTTTCTTTCTTCTTTCTTCTTATTTACATTCCATTGGTTCTAATAACTTCCCCTGTACATTCCTTGGCATTACTGTCTGTTATATCTCAAATATATATATATATATATATATATATATATATATATATATATATATATATATATAGTTAAGGAAAGAAGTGTATACCTAAGGGCTCGTTTTACCCAATATTACTAAGATCTAACAGACACTAATGCCAAGGAAAGCATAGGGGAAGATATTAGACCGAATTGAAATGTAACAAAGAAGAAAAGTGGGTGAAAAGATAACTTGCCGTGGGCTGGATCCGAACCTGCAACCTTCGAAGGACGCGTTCGATGCTCTACCACTTGAGCTACCATGACAGCCATCCCCCCAGCCACTTTATTGGGTTTATATGTGAATTTAACGTGGGAGTGTCAGTCAGCGCCATCTATAAGCCAAGTGACGAGTGTGAAAACACTCTTTTGAACCGGTTTGGCGTCATGTAGCACGTTACCTTATTACGAGTGGGCAGCTGACCAGTAGTCCCTCGTATACAACCTAAAGGCCCTAAGTCTGCCAGTACGAGACCCTCGTTAAATGAATTAAGAAAAGAAGTGTATACCTAAGAGCTCGGTTTTCCGTGTTTTACACAATATTACTAATTACTAAGACCTAACAGACAATAATGCCAAGGAAAGCATAGGGGAAGATATTAGACCGAATTGTAATGTAACAAGGAAGTAAAGTGGGTGAAAAGATATATATATATATATTGTTATGGCGTTTATTAGCGGGCAGACAGCGAGTATACACAATGGCGACAGTAACGGCCAAGCACGGACTCCTAGCGCGAGCGGCGTCCTTTTTTGGGTAGACCCACTAGAGAACACTTGAGAATTTGACCCACTTCAGTGTTCGGCGGCTTCTCTACAATCACCCCGGGGTCGAAGAGGGAGCCGCCTGGCGACCTAGCAGCTTGTCACTACGAGTGGGTCATAGTAAGCCTTCAGGCGCTCCACGTTGACTATGTCGCGCCCGCGGCGGCGCATGTCCGAAGATTGTTCAATTGGCTCGATAAGATAGTTGACCAGAGATGTGCGCTCGATAACACGATAGGGACCTTCATATTTCGGGAGTAGTTTGGAAGAAAGGCCAGCTACAGAGGTCGGGATTGAGAGCCATACAAGGGAACCAGGAAGGAACGTGGGTTCAGAAGCGGCGGAGCCATCACGAATACTCTTCTGCTGCTCTTGCTCATGCGTCGTAAATGTCTTGGCCAGCTCGCGACACTCTTCAGCAAGCCTGGCTGTCTCGGAAATAGGTGCACACTCAGATGGATCCGGCGTGTACGGGAGTATAGTGTCGATGGTGTGTGACGGGTGCCTTCCGTACAGCAAGAAGAAAGGTGAAAAACCGGTCGTGCTCTGAGGGGCGGTGTTGTAGGCATAGGTGACAAAGGGCAGTATAGTATCCCAATTCGTATGGTTGGCGGCGACGTACATCGAAAGCATGTCGCCGAGGGTGCGGTTAAAGCGTTCGGTCAGGCCATTCGTCTGTGGGTGGTAAGCAGTTGTTTTGCGGTGGACAGAATGGTACTCCATGAGAATGGCTTCGACGACTTCTGACAAGAAGACACGGCCTCGATCGCTGAGAAGCTCCTGAGGTGGACCATGGCGCAGTATAAATCGGTGCAGCAGGAAGGACGCAACATCACGCGCTGTAGCCGCAGGGATAGCGGCGGTTTCGGCGTATCGCGTTAAATGATCTACGGCGACGATGGCCCAGCGGTTACCAGCCGACGTCAGAGGAAGCGGGCCATACAAATCGATACCTATGCGCCCAAACGGACGCTCAGGGCAAGGTAATGGTTGAACGACTGGAGGCGGCCTGGCGACGACTTGGGCGTAACTTGGGGGCGCAGGGGCCGGAAGCTGTTGTGGTTGGTACGCCGGCATGACCTCCGCTATTTCCTGCTCAATTGCTCGGCGGATGGGTGGAAGAATGGTAGTGGCCGATTGTTGAGCAGCCGGTGGGTGGGCAAAGGGCAGGAGAGAAAACGGCCGCGCGATTTCCTCACGTATGAAAGACTTGAGGTCTGCCAGCAGTGCCACCTGATCACAGCTCGCCTCCAAGCCTGCAAGCCCTGCATCTCGCGGTGTAGAGCGACGGGTCATCGAACGCTGCCGGCGGAGCTCCTCGTAGCTCTGGCACAGCGTGATGACCTCAGCTACTGTGCCTGGGTTTTTGGCAAGCAGCATCGTGAAGGCATCATCGTCAATGCCCTTCATGACGTTCCGGATCTTGTCTGATTCGGACATGCTGTCGTTGGATTTCTTGCAAAGGTCCAGCACATCTTCTATGTAACTGGTGAATGATTCACCGGCCTGCTGAGCGCGTTCGCGTAAGCGCTGCTCGGCTTGCAGCTTACGAACGGCAGGGCGGCCAAAAACGTTGGTAATAGCGGTCTTGAAATCGGACCAGGTTGCGAAATCGGACGCGTGGTTGTTGTACCACAAGCTTGCAACGCCCGCAAGGTAGAACACCAAATTTGTCAACTTGCCGTCCTCGTCCCATTTGTTGGGGACGCTCACGCGCTCGTAAATGGCGAGCCAGTCCTCCACGTCAGTGCCGTCGGCGCCCGTGAAGATGGGTGGATCTCGGATCCTGGGGACACCGGGACAAGGGGGTGGCATGGGAGGAGGCGTTTGCTGAGAGGCGTCGTGGGACATTGTAGATTGCAGGGTACGTGAACGCAGTTCCCAGGGCATCAAAGGGGATCGAAGCACTCTCCACCAATTTGTTATGGCGTTTATTAGCGGGCAGACAGCGAGTATACACAATGGCTACAGTAACGGCCAAGCACGGACTCCCCGCGCGAGCGGCATCCTTTTTTTGGGTAGACCCACTAGAGAACACTTGAGAATTTGACCCACTTCAGTGTTCGGCGGCTTCTCTACAATCTATATATATATATATATATATATATATATATATATATATATATATATATATATATATATATATATATATATATATATATATAGTCCAGTAGATCCTACGTGAGCGGTCACAACGTGGTTTATTTCGACGTTTCGGCCTAGAGTCTGGCCTTCATCAGGATATATATATATATATATATGACAAAATCCAGCGTCTAGCGCTTCGTGCTAGATTATGGGTCCAGTATCGGACTGGATACTGACTGGCACGCTAGAGTGGCTTGTTACTGCGAGCCACTGGGTACTCTGCGGAAAATGGCTTCACAGGGTTAAAACTGGGGTGTCTACTCACCATCAATAAATATAACTATATAAGTAAAAGAAATGAAATAGCGCACGTTACCATTAACACATTTAAAAAAGTGGTGAATAGAAGATCTACCGAGAGGATTCAAGTCGCTGGCTTCCGACTTCCAACCAAGTCCTCTACCAACTACGCCACGCCAGAACACGTTAAGCAGGCTATAAAATGACTAATTATCCAAAAAAAAAACACGCCGTTCGGCTTCAAGTTTACGAATTCTCACAGTCAAGATTGGCGCAATATTCTTTTCCAAATAACAATTGCGGCTTTATTCGACACTGAAGAACGCCTTCCGGGCACCCAATGACGTGCGGATATTGGCAAAAGCTCGAAGTTTTTATTTATGCAACCACATCTTAGTTTTGAAAAACATCAAATAGACTGGAGGATCACCCACACGTTGTCGGCTGTTTCTGCCAATATTTTTTTTCTGATAGTCGTTGCTTCCTCTTGCTAGTAGTAAACATGTACAGATAATATATAATTACTTGTACGGTAGATATGCGCGTACACAATTGAATATTGTGCCGTACTCTTGAGCAAGCGTTGATATAACAGTATACAGTCGGCGTGCCACAGTGTAGATTTGAAGTTATATCGATACACAACTGAAAACTGCACAAGAAAATATCAATAGAATTTGCTAAAAACGTATGCACGTGAGTTTGTTTACTAAGGCGTACCAAATTACCAAATGAAGATTGCGTGTTCATGCGACTTAGAGAAGTACCGGCTAGTGCACAGTTGGCGGCTTTCAGTGAGAGTAGAGCTAGTAGAATGTACTACTTTTTTGCAGCCATCACGTCGGGTTAATGTCAATAGTGGTTAGTTGCCTTGGGCTAAAGTATACTTATATAGCATTGTCTGGGGCCAGCATCTTCGCGAGCATCAGCGCTTCATATCAGCTTCTGGTATTTGAAATACGCATGTTCCAGTTGGCATCGTTGCACAAGTGCATACAACTGGTTATATAAACATATGCCACTCTTCAACATATGTCTGTGCGTAAACACATGTAGATATATTTAGCATCAGTTCATGACGTGTCGCTCAATAAAAAAATTGCGAAAAGGTCACCTTCCCTCTGCGTGCTTCGCATAACGTCAATTACGATGTACGGTTTCTGCCAAAATTTTTTTTCCCAGAGCAGCCGTATTCCCACACACTATAGCATTTTACATTTTCGTGAAATCAGATGAAAAATAGTTACCGTGAACTTCTTTACAGCGCAACAGTAGAAACCCAGGACAGGGAAGGAGCAAAAGAGAAAAGAAAAGATGGCGCTGACTCATAACTGTTTTTGACTCACAACTCACAGCTTCTTTCCCGCATTCCACACCACACATTTTATGGTGTAACACTGTGGTGAAATAAATTTCAAACTTCAAACTTCAAACTTCAACTCACAGCCATGTCCTGTGTTCCTATAGTGTTGCGCTGTAAACAAGTTCACGATGGATCCCGACCAACTGGCCCAACTTACCGTCTTACTGTGAAAAAGAGTTAGCTGCAGCCTAAGTTCGTTATGGGGCTGCGAGCTCCTATCGCAAGGTGTAAAATGTGAAGTCGTCGAAAGGCTCACTGACCATATGACTGTTGAAATCGCCTCAAACTTCGCGTGTTCTCCACAAAGACCTCAGGTCAAAACTTTTCCGCACTTTGTTGAAGTTGATGACACTGCCATGCTGGACGCAATAGCGTGATATTTTGAGAAATTTGAATGCTGTAGCAAGTTTTGCAATTTAGATTCGCTCCTTCTTAAGTTTTGTGATAATGTCTATCAAAGTATGTACCTCAGATATAATAAATGGAACCAAATGCACCCATGCTACCATAAAAATATTATCCATTTCACTCGTCGCACAAAGCGCTTTCATAAGAATCGTCATTCTAAGTGTAATAATAACGCTTCTTGGATCAACACAATGAGAAGTAAATAGAAGCTAAAATCAAGAGGCTAAGAACCAGGGTTGGCACTAAATTTTCAGCGAAATTTGCCAAATTATGAGCTAAGCGTCACCAAAAGTCGTCATTTGTTTCTTAAAATTTTAAATGTCGCCACTTAGTACAAGTTGCGAGCCTACAGTAATAAAGATTGCTTACTATGTATCACCCCCAGTAGTATAGTAACCTCTGTAACCCCTAAATAATATCGACATTTTTAATACAAGTAGAATCGCCCAATTCACTGTGGAAGGGTTCACTGGGCTTGGATTTAGCATTGGAGTCCCAACTCTCACTTGACCATTAAAGCATTGAGAAAGGACATGGATCAGAGACTTTCCTAAGGTCAATTAGAGGGGACTCTGGCACTGTGGTTGTTCAGCGACTATGAGAATTATGGGTGTGACATGGATTTGCCGAGTGTTCGTGCTTGCTGTCGGCAAATCACACTCGTGACTTCGTTTATTGCTGTGTTTTGGTATGGTTTCGAATGAAAGAACGAACCGTTAGGAGCTTCGTGAGCCGATTTGAAATGGTCATTCTAAAAAGTGAAGGTCGTGAAGCGCAGCTGCTGAACATTCGCCGATTGTTGTTTCACGACAAAGCAGCTTCAAGCCACGCGAAGCCAGAACGAGCGTGAAATACAAAAACTGGGCAAAATAATGTAATACGCATAGTTTCCATGTTTGCTGAAGCTCCATGCGTTGCAGCTCTCATATACACTAGCACCAAAGTACCCTTCAGTGTATATTTAGGCAACTTTATGGCATTAATGCACCAGCAGCGTCCCTGAAGGTTAGCGCCTAACAAAAGTTTGTGATGGTTTCAGTTGTATCGAATACAGGGTGAAACAGTCTCCACAACAATAGAAGGACGGTGTGCATAGCCTTCCTGCAGTTTTAAACAACCTCATTGCATTGAAATGATGTGTCCGAGAATCAAACAACTTAATTGAAAAACAACAGAAATAAATTCGAAAGGACTGTGTAACCGCAGTAATGCCCTCATCCTGCTTTCTGTGCAGTCATGCTTATGCTACACAATCGCTTCAATGCAGTTTCTGAAGGCTGCCCAAGAAAATCGACTTTTTGGCCGGCCTCAAAAGCATGTTAACAAATATACACTCTACATACCAAATAAGGGAGTACTACCATAGTGAAGAAGCCGACAAGCTATTGAGGACAGTTGTAGCTGTGGTTGAAACAAGTAGCCTAACCGAAAAGTAGTCACCAATGGCAACCCTGCTAAGAACTACTACTTTAGCAATGCTTTTGCTACACGTTTGAAAAAAATTCATCCAGGTTCTAGACGCTGATCAGTCCTGGATCTTCTATGCCCTCAAAGTTTATTCTAGATGGCCAATCCTCCTCAAATCCAGAAGCTATAGCGAATGCCTTTATTAATTATTTCAAATCTTAGTTCCTACCGATAACAGCATCACTTCTTCATTTTACAAGTGCAGCAAGCTACCAGCTATTCCTAATCTTGAATTGAGCTTCTCTGAAGTGCATACTCTAACAATATTTTTTAAGTTACGAAACACTCTGGCCTAGACGGTATGCCAAATATATTTCCAAAATAGGACTCAGCATGGTGGGCTAATTATTTTACCGTAACATTTAAAAACTGTAAATCTTTGCTACAGTTCCCCAACTGTGGCCAGTATTATAGGTCAATATCTACGCTTTCTACACAAGCTCCACACCTTTGGAGCATTCAATTAACAAATACTACTTAGAATACCAAAAATCATACAGCATATTTTTCCATTCACAGTACGTCTTTTGTGCTGGGTACTGCTTGAATTTACACACAGCATTGTTGCTTTCTTTAACGACCGAAGACATATTTAAGCCATATTTATTGAATATTTTAAATATTTTTGGAGGGTTTGCCATGGTGAACTTTTAGGTTCTTCACAATATTTTTGCAGCAAAGAACTCGCTGATTGTATAGCTGATTACTTGCGATCGTGCTGAAAATTTTGTACGTTTAACCATGCGAAGTCGTCTGACGTTTAGATCACATCAGGGGTGGCTCGAGGCTCAGTGCTTGGACAGCTTTCGTTCATTATTTATATAAATGACGTAGCCAAGATTATAAGCCACACCCAAAATAGACTTGAAATGTATGAAGATCACTGCATTATCTATAAAATCATCTCAAACACTCAAGATTAAGATGCGCTCATTACTATTTTATCTTCATTTTGTAATACGAGTGAAACATAGTGATTGTCTAGTAACTGCAAAAATACCGTAGTCATTACCTTTTCTATTAAAAATGGTCTCTTATTTATAAATATTGTTACGGTTGATTTAAAGGATATGTGCATTTATTTACAGGGTGAGGATGAAGTTCAGCAGTCGTGGTAAAGATGGAGTCCTCATTATGCCGTTAATATGTTCAGTTTGGTTTTACCTTCGCAATGAAGAAAAGTTGTACAGGAACCTTCCAGCGAGTAATCTTCCTCATCCGTTTTACGCCGGCTTCCACTTCACTGCTTGCATCACGTCCCAGAATGCTGTACATGATCGACTTTTCCATCAGATTTCCGTCGTTTCCTGTCTTCCGCAGGCCCTGAAATATTCAGTTTAGAATCTCTTGCATGTTCATTCCTCAACGTTGAGTACTTTGGCCATGCCGAGCTATAATTAGGGGCCCTGCAACACTATTTTAAGTAGTCATAGAACGGACTCACTAAAAGAGCCCATTTTCCTACGAATTCATCACCACCCAATTTTAGGAATCGGTTCTCTGTGTCGTCGTTCTGTTCTCGCGCTATAACTATTGTCATGTCATACGAACTAGCCCAAGCTGCCACACTTCTGTGCTGTACGTGCGGAGTTAAAAGATTCGTCGCACGCTGCATTTGCGTTCTCTCTTGAGCACTTGAAATCTTAAGCGCTTATCAACGTTTCGCGCACGCGAGGGGAAGTCACGTCCTCCCGTAATTGTTCCAATAACTACCGAGCACGCTACGTTCAAATCACCCAATGGCTTATACTATAGGCTTGGGACGTGGTGATTTTCAGACAGTAGCGTCATTTGTCGAAAGAACGGAGAGCGATTTTGAGCTGACTTTAATAATTCATAATTAATGTCAGGTCGTGTACTGCGCTATGATATTCGGCACGCGAGTTCTCGGGAGCCTCGACTATGATAGGCAGTGTTTTCTGACCATGCTCAACAGGCGTTGCCGGGCGCCTTTATAGTAGGCTTAGCATGATGAAGCTTTTATTGATCTCCGTTACCGTAAGTTTAGGGAGAGAGAGAAGGAATATTGAAAATTGAAAAGGCAAGGACTAGCCTACGTCCAGTTTTCTAGCCTATGCATGGGAAAGCGAATAAGGCAGTAAAAGAGACAGCAGAAGAGACACACTTCAGAACACACTCAGAGCGACGCCTATCACAGACGGTGACTCATCTCTGTTGTCTTCAAGTACTCCAGGAAAACTCTTGTGGCTTCCTGGGCTGAAGTGTAGTGCGCAATCTCTCGAGATTAATGTTTAGAGAAAAGACGATCATTTTTGTCAGTAGAATAAGCTAGGCTAATTTTTTTTGCTTTTAAACCTGTTTTGCGTTGTAGTGTTTTTTTTTTGGCAAAGTATTGCTGCACATGAAGCATTGTAAGCCATTGCTATCAGTTCTTCACCTTCGGAGCGACAAATCACTGTTAAAAGCTTTCTTGCAAATTCTTGGATTTTATTTCTTTTGTCAACGGCAAGATTATATAGCTGTTAGACATAAATTAATACACCCAATTAACATTATTGGCAGTCTGTGTGAAAAATGTGCAGTAAGTAAACCTTCGTTGACTACTTGGATACTGCCAGATGTCCAGTGGAGTTGCCTGTTTGCCGATAATTATCTGATGCTTCAACAGCTCCCGATGAGAAATACAAAGGTTGGAAGTCTATGAGAGCTAAAGATGTGTTTCTGGCAATCCAAATTTTTTATGTATGCATGCGCGACGACAACACTATTGTGATTACCTATACCATCATTTCTGCTTTAGTGCGCAAGCGTTCAGAAAAGTTCATCAATGTTGTGACACGGTACACTAGTCATACTAATCATATTTGTGAAATTTCAGTCTCTTTTCAGCGCATTGTTTGTCCAGGACATCTCGTATATTTATTAGTGGTATACAATAGGCTGTAATTAGAATGAACTATAAAGGCTAATTGAAATGCACTTCTTTTTTTCATTATGTAGTTTATATTTTTGCCGTATAACTTGAAAGTGTTTTAGGCCGGAGCCCCACAAGGCTTTAGCGAGGTATTTCCGACACGGAAATCACTTCGAAAATGCGAATGACCAGAAGACAAAGAAAAACTTTCGCCAACGGCCATCGAACCTATGACTTCTGGGTCCATGATAACAGCTGCCCGGCACGCTATTTACTACACCATGGATTTTTTTATTATTGTTATTACCAGTAAACTGACATCACATGTACGCCAACGACAGCAAACATTTGCAATGATACACAAGTCAACAACAATGTAAAGATAACAAACAAAACAAAACATGACCAAGTTTTCTTAAAAGTTTTTAAAGTATGTCAGAGGTTACACCCAGGCCAGCAAGTTTGGAACAAAGTCTTGTTGTTTGAGCACATATATGTACTGAAGAACGGTCTTGCAGGTAACTTTTCAGGGTCACAGTTATATTCGACAATTTTCGCCCATCATGAACAGTGAAGGCCGAGAAATATAATTATTTCAAAAGGTATTCTATCCTCATCTTCTATCAGTAAACACGTGATCACTAGTAGACGTAGTAGAAATTCCTTTTTCTGCGTTGTCTATAAAACAACCAAAAGTACACCACTTCCCAACAGTGCAAAAATACGTGATCTGTTTACAAAATCAGTGAGCTCTTTTAAGCCTTCCAACATCTTGTTCGCTACGGCTTAACAGTTAGCCTTCTTTTGTTCACCCTGTACACTGAGTTCATGTTTGTCAATTATACATAATGACTACATTTGCGATTTTAGGCTAATGGAAGCTGACGTGAAGGCATGGGCATGCGATGATGACTTTGCTGTATGATGTACATCAAAAGAAAGTGTACAAGAGACAATTTGCGTTGTCAAGAATATTGGCCAAATCACCAGAATCAAAGTGAACCAGTGGAAAAGTTTGAGCTGTGGCACAGTGAGTGGTTATCAGACCCAAAAACTTTTTTTCAACATTAGGTGATTTCCAAGTGCCGCATTGTACCTTGGTGTAGGCCTTGAATATTATAAAGGCAGTGATAAATAACGGAAGGACGAAGTACATGAAGTCCGAGAATAAACGTGGCGCTAGAACGCCACTTGTTTCTCAATGATTGCTAGGACCACTATATAAAATAATTTTTATGAGCAATTTATAGAATGTTACGCAAGCACTGAGTTGTACATGAGTGCATGTGCAACATCTTAAGAAAATATTTGCTGTTTTGGTATAAAAAATGCAATAGTATGAATTTTTCATGCGAGTTAAAAAAAGGAGCTCAGCTTTCCGTAACTCTTTGTGTGACAGCTAGTTAATTACTCATTTCTTCATTGAGGAGATTCAAAAATTCTTTTTCGTGAACAGTGTGCCAGTTACGCCTTCGCTGCGTGATTCCAAAACATTGTTGTTTTCAACACAAAAATACCTGGAGCCACACGAGGCTTTTTCGAGGACCTTACGCACAGTGTCCGTTTCCTCTCAGTAATGTTTTCAAATCAATATCATTTTTGGCAACACGAACTAAACTCTATGAAGATATACGTGACACAATCTTTAAAATATCTATGTATAGCTCAATACATCGTGGATGCGAATGAAAGGACGTACTCGCAAAAGTTAGGAAAATACAGGTTCACTTTGGGGCAAAAACTTTTTTTAATTCCATTCAGACACTTTACCAGTACGAACCTTTTTGAAAGAGTGAGGCTTATGTATGCCATGGGGTTCTCATCGTGTTGCCTGAAGAAAACTGCGCACACATCACTTGCTTTGTGCGCTTTAAATCTACGCCTTTTATATCGACCACTGTCCTCTTACACCGTTCTCTGTAATGTTACCTATCCAAGTTTCGGCAACAAACTTATAGCTCAAACACCAGCAAGATAAAGAGTCACGCGTTAAAAAGTATGAATATTTACAAGCCACCAGGCGTTCTCTCGGGTACTTTTGTCAAAGTTCTTTGCCATTGCTATGAAATTCTGCGTGTTTACATTTCACATGCCATGGTGAAAAGGTAAACAGTATGCCAAAATGTTGCGAAAATTAACGAAGATTGTCGGTAACTGTCAAAGACACTGCGCTCGTAAAAAGCTTGTTTTTGGGACTTGGTGCTGTAAACTTACTTCTTCTGACTGTATTCTTACTTCTTCAGCAATCAGGAATTCGTTGGCAATTGTTGTCAATAAATCACCAATTCCGAAAAAAAAGACCTTTTCATCTTCTTCAGGAATAGATTTATTTGGCCTATGTCCGGAGCAGCGTTTATATGAGACCTCACCTATTTCACTAATAGTTTTAACTGTTTCATTTATTATGATGGATCTTTAAAGACCACTTCAAGCACACTACCTGTTCTTACCTTCAAACTCAGCCTAACAATTTTGTCCTAACGAGTTTACGGCAGCTGCATAATCATAACAGGCTTACTTGTTAATTCAGGACTTTTGAGGAGTACTTACATCAGACAACCAAAGGAAGTAGCAGTAGCAATACATTGGTCCCCACATCGGCATGTATTGGGATGGGTCAGGGCTGCTAGCTTGCACAAACTTTACGCAATTGGCCTGCAATAAGTAACAGTCTCAAACCACAAACCCAAAAGATTGAACAGCTTGCATGTCATCACTTTGTTTTCTGAAAACCTCACAGAAAAGAAACGCTCGTGCCTCCTGCACACTACGCTTTTATAGTGGTATTGTTTTTGTTTCTTTTTTTTTCATTGTGATTGCTATATGAATGTTAATGCACTCCCGCTGTTTGCTGTAATAGGGCGCTTGTTGTATACGCAAGTGCAGGAGGGCATAGTCGGGGAAAACTGCATATAGGGATCAACGTTCTGTGAATCTTGTATATTTGTCACTATAGGCGTGTTCTTTAGCTATCTTGGCACAACCACAGCAGTCAAATACTAGCTTATGGTAAAATTAGCCTTAATAAACAATATAAAATCTCATCATCACATATCACGGCAGCAGAACAAAGCAATATATGCTTGTTTATGCACATATAGTGCTTGGTTGGTCTCCTTCTTGAACACTGCATTGTCAGAAAGAATTTCTTAAGTGCCTATATGATCTCAGTTTACTTAGTGGTAAAACCCCAGCTTGCAAAGTGACTCCATGCAAGGCAAGACAATCGAATAATGAAAACATATCATGACATAGCCGCGAGCTTGAGATAAACATTTTGTACAGGTTTGCTTTCTTTACCTGTTCTACAGGTATGACAACATTTATTCAAATGCACAGAGAAGATTTAATCGAGAGCCGACCTGTTATGTGAATGCGTGGAGGCACACTAACTGTTAATGGTTTGCAGACATTTGAAAACACAGAATTCTCATCACAAAGACACGACGTGCATGCCCAGCAGTAGTGTTGGTAGAAATTGTTCTTTGGGCAGAGAGGGGAGGCGAGGTCTACCGGGTTTTTTTGGTCTGTAACTAAAGAAGTATACTTTATTTTCCTTAAATCTTGAGTGATGAGGCTGTATCTGGTGCAAAAAATAAAACAATATGAACCTCATAGCTCAGTGTGACTAAAATGACACCATAAGATTCTCACAAATTTATTGTCCGTTAACCAAGTGGAGTGATGCTTCTCTAGTTTTCTTCAATATGGCAAGAAACATTTTGCGGTGTGACGTATTTTCATTGTAAATGTCAACTAGTTGAGCCAACAAAGTAGTCTAACGTAATTATCGATACCTACCCTGCAGTTGACCTCAAAGGCACATCGAAGCAAAGACATTCCCAGAGGAGACGGTGCTCCCGGCAACACTTCTCTGAAAATAGGATCAAGGAAGCACCAAGAAAAACCGTTTTGCAGTGCAATTATTTGGCATGTGGTGACCTTGTAAACTGGCTAGATTTTTCAGAGCGCTTAGTGCTTACATGCTCCTTCACATTGAGATACTTTTGCATACTCACGAGACGTTTCCTGTGGTCAAAATTTCTTTCGCCGATTTCAGACCATCGTTGAATTCATTGAGCAACTCGCAGTCACTCTCCCTAAGAAATGTTGTGACAGGACGGCACTGCGACCAACCCCTCATGTATAAGTACGCCCTAAAATTAAACGTTGCTCTGTTCTCTTACCTGCAGCATAAAAAAGTTCCCGTTCTGCAGTGCCCACTCGATATCTTGCGGCGTTGTGTAGGTTTGTTCTATCTGTAAGCAGATGAGTACAAAACCCTCTCTTAAGTTTGCTGCTTCATGTTCTATGAGTAACTGCGTACTCACATATCGTTTACCTACTGTGAAATTCTTTTTGTTCATAATGTAATTGCTGTCGGTTAGCAGCATTTGTGCACGTCGTGTCCACATGACATTTTTGCATGAATACGCGCTCAGTAATTTTTAACGCTGGAGCCCTTCTAGGTGAGAGACAGTTGGATCGTATATATTTTTCTCGCTGTCTACCTGGACCCCCATATTTAGGTAGGTGCACTCAAACTCCTTTCATTACTTTTGCTCAGTATATGTCAAAATTGGCATGCCATAACAAAAACGTATGAACAACATCACTGACCATGATGTCAACAGCAGGAGTAGCATAAGTTTGGAGTCGAAATTACAACGATGTGGTATCGTAGTATTCCTGCATGCATAACGAACACAAAAAACTGTTCAATTACTGTGACGACAACCATACTGTCCCCATGAAGACACCAATGGAGATAATACCATCATGGTTGTTTCCTCACCGTTGTATGCACATGCTAGAACATCTGTGCGTGCATGCACAGTACAGATGTGAAATTGTTGCTATTCCTTCAGACTAAGGTAAATGGTACTGATTCGTGTTTGAGAGACGTTATAGAAACCTTCAAAGGACGAATGAATGACGCAAGTGACACCACAAAGCACTTCATGTTACCCAAATATACTAACACTTCTGCATGCCTTTAACGTGATTTAGAGCAGACCTAAAATATAACAACTTCTTTTTACCTGTTTACCAATAGCAGCCAAAGCCCGGACGTCTTCTTCTGAGATGCAGGATCGCTGAGCTTTTTCCTCGCTCACTGGTACAGTAGCCACGCCGTCACTCTCTGCCGCCAGATATGGAGCCACATGACACACATATAGTGAACGTACTTAAAAACTCGAATCAAAGGTTAGCCTTTAATTACGCTGTCATATTCCATTCTAATAGTGCCGTAAAACATAAATATTCCTTCAGTACTTTTCGCAACCACATTAAGTTCAATGGTGACTTCAGGACATAATTTCAGCGTTGTCAAAATGCACCAAACCTTTCAATACGTTTACTCGCATGCACCCGTGCTTGTTTGTAGCGCCAGTATTTTATAAAAAGTGTCTCATCATATTTTGTTGAATAAGACCACTCATGGACGGACGGACGAACGGACGGACAGATGGACAGACAACACACAGACCGTTTTTAAAACCAACTGAAATTGCTATTATTAGGCCAATAGTTGCTATTGACTTCTGTACTGTTAGCCAGCGTTCCCTCAGAAAGATTTCTGGTCGGTGACGAGTTGGGCGTCACGTATCGCGAGGTCACTAGACACACACACACATAAAACAAACAGGCTCTCATGAAGTCTGCAGCCCGAGAGTGTTTTTTTGTCTCCCGAAGAAAAATATTTCTTGGGGCAGCCACCCAGGAAAGCCGGATTGCTATATTTCAATCGATACATCAGGTGCGCGACCGTACAAATTATGCAAGTGTGGTCAGAAAAATGCACAACTCCACGCATATCGCGCTTTGCGTATACGACTGGCTCCGGCCACGTGCTACCAGAACAACTCGCGAAGGCCACAATGTGAAAAAGAAGAAAGAGAAGGACACTACCGATCCAGACAAACAAACAGAGCTGTGTAAGTGCTTGGGTTTGTTTATTTCTAAGGCACCCAAACATGTTCACTTTTAAAGTAAAGACAAAAAACAAATTACATTTTAAATGGTAAAATCCATAAACTATTTCTTGCTGTGATTGATTGATAGATATGTGGGGTTTAACGTCCCAAAAGCACCATATGATTATGAGAGACGCCACCGGCTGCAATAAGCCTCGCTAATTTGCACAGCGTTGCACCTGATTTATGAAGAAAGGTCATTAAGAAAGGACTTCTGGCTAAAAACTAGTGATGCATTTTTTCCTCTACCCACCCCCTATTCATTATCTACCGAATAAAATTAGTCTCGGACTGACCGGTTCGGTGAGGATTTGCTTTTTCCCTGTCTTGGTTCCCGAAAAAAGTTTTTCGGTGTTGTGCGATGTTTCAATGTGATCATGGAAGTTTTTTTAGAGCTAACATATTACTTTTAGGCTCATAAGCAGGGCTAAGGGGTGAATGTTCGGGTAGTCTTCCAGCATCGCACGGAGCTTCTGAGGGCGAATTTTCGCCATCATATAGACGCTGGCGAAAAAATTCACAATCCCAAGGATGCTATGCAGGATGGCCCGAGCTTCTCGGGCAGACGAGTTTGCTCCGAGCTTGGTTTTCGGCGGCCACGGTATGAAGGCAGTGCTGAGTGCGCGATAGCAGCGTTGATAAAAATGGCTTCAAGAACGCACGTGGCGTTAGAAACGCACGTGGGGCATTTGCGGCGGTTATAAAAGAAACACCACGTGCGAACACGTCAGCGTTGCCACTCCGCAGTGCAGTGACGCCAGCGTCATTTCCACGCTATCTTTTTGCCAACTCAACAAGCGCCTCCCTCGTGCGTGTTCGTGGGCGTTTGTCCTTTTTCGGACAAGTTCTTTTGTTCCGCCTACAGCATGGAAATTTGCACTCTGGAAGGCAGCAGGGGCGCAAACGCAGCACTCTTGTGCTGCTCGTTTCGCTCTATCAAATATTGCAGATAAATGTAAGGACAGATGGTCACCAGGGGCGCTCGCATCATGGTGGCAACGCGGCTGTGATTGGCAACGTGGTGAGCGTGGTGAAATTGAATGCAAAACATAGTAGCCGCGTGGTGATATCACTTTTACTTCTGCGTGCATGTGTGCATAGTCTGCGCGATAAAGCTGATAAATTAATCGTGCCGCTCGGCAAGAGCAAACATGGTGGGCGTACCCGATCTTCGCCGTGCGCAGTCTGTCAATCAGACTGATTGGTGCGTGAACTCTGATACAAACTCGCTGATTCTGAGAAGACGCGAGTTCAACTCGGGATTGAGATGGCGCGTTTGATGCGGTGAACGCTAAGCGGCAGCTTCTTTGCATGTAAAATCATTTGGGGAGATTACGCTACTTGTGCAAGGCTGGAGCCATGGAGAAGCTTGTGATAACCTAGCTTTTTGCAGCTTTTTAAGTTGGTCGTCTACTCATGTGCGTGATCGGTTTCGAGTGAAGACCGCATCAGCTCTGTCTTAAGTTTCATCGAACTATTTTACTGAGGCCTAATGACCATTACACTGAGCAGCCTTGCCTTCCTTGATAAGGCTTCATATAAGAGTAATTATCCCAGGCGCAATTAGCAATACCCTGATCAGTATGAAACTTTTAAACGTAATCCTGACTAGCACGATACCAATTATCATCATATTAGTAAGCTCTGATTAGCATGGTTTCACTTCGTGTGCTCATAATTAACATAGCAGTAATTAGCAAAGTTTTGTTAGCGCATCAACAAGCGTGCCTTGGTTAGCCCGGTTCTAGCTTTACATGGCTTCATCAGCACGATCTTTTTAAATTGTAGCGTAATTACCTCGACCTTACCATGGCTTGGCGTAATTAGATTAACGATAGCATGTCCTGGCGTAACAAGCGAAGCACACCATCCAGCTAAAGAGCTAAATAGCCAGCCGCACGTGCATGGCTGCTAGCGGGTGATGAAAACAAAGACGACGCGCACCGGCCGAGCAGCGCACTTGAACGCACAGGCTGACACGTGGCCTCAGTAGAATGTACATTCCGACACGTGGCTTCAAATTTAGCTGCTTTCGCGATGTAAGAACGCTAGGCTATTATATTACTGATCTAAAAGGGCACCGTGCTGATTATTCTAAAACAAATTTAGTGCAGGCATTAAATGCTTCAAAATGAATATAAACACCCCTGCCTCTAAAAAGTATCACCCAAAAAGTTTCCCCCACCTTTACTGCATGGGTGCACTTCTGCACTTATTGGAACGACCAAAATATGAGAGAAGATGCCTCTGGTTTGAAAACACTGCCCAACATAACCGACCATCCTTGACACGATGATTGGTTCCATCATAACCAATAAAACGCAGCATGCTGAGGGGTGGATTTGACATTTTCGTCCTGTTGGTTCGTACATAAGGGGGCTTCGCCAAAGCTCGAGAATATCCCCATTTTCGCGAAACTCGGCCGATTCTGCATAGCGCCCCAAGTTGGTTGAAACGTTGACTGATGCAAAAAATTTTAATAAAACATTACATCTGAGAAACACGCACTGTCACCTCTCTGTTTTTATTGGCCTTCCAATGCCGGAAATCTTCAGCACATGAGGCAATAGTTATCTCGCGTTAGGGAATGTAGCTAACAAGCAGACTCCTTAGGTAGCACCACAGGCAACTGCGTTTGTTTTACCACGCTGGTTTCACACACATTGTAAACAAACAGGTAACTCTAAAATTTAGGGTTCAGGGGTCACTGCCCTGAATAGATTATACTACTTTTATCGACTCTGTCAACCTGGAGTCAATTAGTACTCTTCGAAATCCACGTATACACATACCTGACGTCGTTGTGTAGAGTGACTTTTGTCCAATTTGACTCGACTGGATGCTGGGATCCTCCAGTCGCCTTTTTTTCAGCACGAACGTGCCTGGCTCTGCAGAGGCCGAAACCACCGACTGCGCAATGTAATGATGGAGCATTCTTAAAAGCTAATCAATAACCCTATCTCCTTCAATTTGAACAAAATTTGCCATTGATCCTTTTTATTTTTATTGTCAACACAACCAAATTTTACTAAAGTGTAAAAAATAAAAATTGTATATTGCGTAACTAAACTATTTTGTTTTTTTCTTGATGTATATGATACAGTTTGGTTTTAGCTATGTTTTGGACTCCTTACAAAACTCTGTCAACTAGGCAATAAAGCAGTTACACTGCTTGAGGGCTGCCCGGCGCACAAAGCAAGAATGGTGTTTTCTGTGCTGGGTTTACAATATTTCGTGTTCTATACTTAAGCTTGCAACAATGAAACAGCATGTATGGTCATCGATGGTAATCTCGTTCACCTGGTCTGTTACGCAGATTCTAGTACTAGAGCGAGACACTTGCTCCAAAACACCACTCTTCTTTCTAGGATCCTGAGCAGTGCACGGATGAATATTGCGCTTGTCGGAATATAGATTTTCACACAATAAAGAAAGGTCGCAATTCATATCAAATGATCTCGTGGACGCAAAAGGCTGGTCATCTTTTTTAAATGAGTATCTAAATTATAGCCATTTCTGTCGCGCAAAAAACGTACTGTTTTACACTTTCAAGTCTGAAAAACTGTGGATATGACGACTAACACAAGGACAAAGAAGATTATGTGCTCACCACGCTATTTATACACGCTCGTGGCGTAGTTCGCCTTTTGAGTGATTAGTGAGAGCTTCAAAGCAATGGGGAATGACTTTCAACTGCTAATTGTATTGCATTCATACCATACAGTTTCATGTTATTACATGCACAAGCCTGGAAGTTAAAGCAGGCAATTAGTAGTTAGCAATAAAAAGTCGTCACTCCCATCTATTCATCTTTTCTTTTAGTTCGCTCAACTCCAGTAAGCCGGAGTGCGGCGCAGGTGTAATACTGTACTATACTTTTGTATGGCTACGCGCTTATATATCTTTTTTTAAGTCTAAGGCGTAACGACAACAATGGACCAAAGGGAAAGTACACACACACTCTCCTTTTTTTTACTGTTGTTGTGCCTTACACTTCAAAAATGCTGACCTAACACGCTCACAGTCTGCCGTTCTTATACTTACTTCTCCAATGCCATAATTTGCAGTTACTGTGATGAATCCTGGGTTTCCCGTGAGTGGGTCGCAGGTGAACATTACACCGGCAGTGTCAGCATCCACAAGCTCTTGAACTACCACTGCCATTGGCACGTCCAAAGGCTGCCCCTATTGTCTGCGTAGTTGCAAGCAGTGAGATGTATTCAGCAGCGACCACGTAAACATTCACCCGCCAAAGAGACCCTCTCATCTCAACCGTGCCCCCCATCAAGGCTCTCCGCCAGGCGTCACCACTGGCAGTATCGTTCTAACAACTCCAATGATGATTGTGGTGGGTAACAATAACACTCTCAAGGTGGCTTCGCCAGCACTTAACTTACCACGAGAGCCCACGGCAGACAGCTTCAGTGCCGTCTACCGCAGGCCCACCGCTAGAGACTCCCGTTCCCACCAACCGGCACCCGCCAAAGAGACCCTCTCATCTCAACCGTGCCCCCCATCAAGGCTCTCCGCCAGGCGTCACCACTGGCAGTATCGTTCTAACAACTCCAATGATGATGGTGGTGGGTAACAATAACACTCTCAAGGTGGCTTCGCCAGCACTTAACTTACCACGAGAGCCCACGGCAGACAGCTTCAGTGCCGTCTACCGCAGGCCCACCGCTAGAGACTCCCGTTCCCACCAACCGGCACCCGCCAAAGAGACCCTCTCATCTCAACCGTGCCCCCATCAAGGCTCTCCGCCAGGCGTCACCACTGGCAGTATCGTTCTAACAACTCCAATGATGATGGTGGTGGGTAAAAACGCTCGCGAGCCCAACCCCCCCTACCGCTGAACAGTTGTCACCTACTAAAGACGGCCTGTGTGTGAGACACATGCGCCAAGCGGCGCAAACAACTTTACAAGGGGTGTCAGCACACCCCCACCAGATATGCAAATACGCACGCGCGTGATTTCTTGCATTTAGCGCACTGTCAATTTATTGATCTAACTTGACTAACAAGGGTCTGTGCAGAGAGTGGAGTGCACAGCCATGTCTGCGCTGGGATCTTTGAGTACGAGTTTCAATCGTAAAAACCGGAAGCAGAAAGACGTGTCAGCCAACGTTATATCGTTTTCTTTTTTGCTTGGTTATGTATTGTTTTTTTAATATGTACGCTGGTAAGCTCTAACATGTACGCCTAATTTCATAGCAGATATCTATGGCAAATTTATATTCATGATCGCCGGTCAGAGACACCGATAGATAAGATGAGTAATTACTGAGAAAGCAAAGAGCTTCCGCAAATGCCTGCTAGTTGACTGTCGAAGAAGGAAAGCAGGCCCAAAACTTGAGATAAAACAAACAAGAGTATAAACCTTAGCAACATTTCTTACAATTAGCTGATGGTAAGTATAAACAAGTCAAAAATACACCCCTACATAAATGAGTAAATAGATATAGCAATAAAAATTTGGTACCTGCCCATCTGAGTTATGTTACTAAAGTGAATGAGAGTACTAGTTTGTTCTTCATAGTTTACCATCGTTAAGCGCGAAAGAGTTTGAACGATGGGGCAAAAATTCACGGAGAGGCGAACGTCTGTGCATTTTGTTCTTTCTTCCAAATATTTTGCGTCGAAGTGTGGTCAACCGTTTTTCTGGACTGAATAACGCATGTACGCACATAATGTGCGTGAATTACAACCAATCTTATCAGGCATCAGGAACATTTTAGTGTACTATCAACGAAATGAGCAGGTATTTTTTTTCATAGATATTCAAGCAGAAGTTAAGATTAAAAAATTAATGGAGGTGTGAACTGATAAAAAATAACTCGGGTCAAATGCCAGTCGAGGGCCTAAATTTCAACAAGTTCCCTTCTTGAAATGTTAGCTCTATCAATGGTTCTTGTTCAATGCGTATGGTTTCGCTACATTAAGACAGATGAACGAGAGGATAGCATGTCACTTTCGGTTGTTGTTTTTGTGTCGCTATTCAGTTCACGTTCTTGGTCACCCATGATACGAGAAGAAATAGAAAGCGTGCTACTTCCTGACGGGAAGCCACAAATGTTAACAGCACTAATGTTTTGTTCCCAATTAGCGGTATCACTTTTTGGAACAAAGCAATGCGCACAGGGTGCGTGACAATGTGTATTGAAGAATTCACAGCTAAGCATACAGTGCCTCTTGCGCAGTTGTACCTTCTAAATAGTGCATTAGTTTGCCACAAATAAGATTCACTCAGAAATCTACTGACACAGAACTTTAAAAGCGAGGAACTTGGGTGGTGGATTCGTATGAACAAGTACGTATCATCTGCGAAATATCAACGAATAACACAGCTTCTAATATCCCTGAATCCAATTTGAAAGTTTAAATTGCCTGCCTCAACACTTCACGCAAAACGTTGCTGGTTTTCGTGTCAGCCAACCGCCGCTTCCGTCACGCGTTTGTTTTGGATGTTACGATCCTTGCGAGCACATTCCCCTGGCCGAAATTTTCAAGACAATTGGGGAGCAAACTCGCAAGGGTGCACAATGCGTGACGTATTTGATTGAATAGTTCCCTCGACAGTAATTTCACCAGAGGCCAGGAAGGTTTAAGCGTCTGCAAGAATGTTTTCGCGCCACCCAGGATGCCTTCTTTGGAAACAGCTGTCAACGCGTAGCTCATGAGCACGTGGGTTAGCGTGCTTACGTAGCCAGCTTCATTTAGATGACAACCACTTTGGGCGCTGCCTGAATCAGTGCTCTCTGAAACTGAAATTATGATCCGGCTAATTCAAATCGTCTTTAAATAATTATCCGTTGCGCACTTGAGCAAACCATCTTTATAGCCGTAATAAGTGGGTCCTTGGCCACTCATTGCGAAAAAACGATAGCAGTGAAAAATCAAGAACCATTCCTGCGTCCATGCTCATATACTGTTACATGCCATTATTTCTTTATTTGCTTTGTGTGCATGTTCCTTTGATGGATTACAGTGGAGTGCCGATTGGCCCATCTACTTTGCAGAATACATTACACGAGCGCAATATAAACCACCAAAATATGCCTGAATAATCAATGGTTTTGTCATTTTGCGTGGAAGAAAGGGGAGGGAGGGCAGAGAAACGCGACCGGTGTGGGGTACCGTCTTCATCGCGACCTGACCGTGATGACAATAAAACGTTGCCAGAATGATCCTTTATTTATTCATGGATCACTCGCGTGGCTCTTAATCACCATCCCGGTTACGACCGCTTGAAACAAAATGCTCAACAGAACAGAACGCATTTGACCCAGTGTTCACGTTTTATATCATCGTTGCTGTACATAGTCTGAAAACATGAAGTCCAGTAATTGAACAAAGCATTACGATCTTGTTAAAATGTACGAATGTGCTTAGAAACAGTGAACTGGCCCTATGAACAGTGAACTTGCACTTTATGACGCATTAGTCACACCTAATTTTCGCACATAGTTACCCAGGCCAATGCATTTGACCCGAAGCGCACGGGATAGATTAGTTTGTTAGCGTAACTGCGCTTCAGTTCTAGGTTAATAGAGTATATTTTTACTGATTAATGTTAAGCGTTTGCGTTGCATGGGTGGAAGTTCTTTCGGTTGCATCGCTGCATCTCCACATTGCCCCGCGGTGTTTGAATCGTATTGTGGCGAAATACAATAATTAGCAACAAAATCTTCCATAGATAATCAAGATTGCAATAGTACAATTATATTTTTTCTTAACGCAGTGCAAACCTACCTTTTATAGTTCACATTTGGGAAGCTGAACTGCGATGCCCAGCATTTTACCACGGCGTTGATCACCTTAAAGGGAAAGTAATACTTGCATGTATCTTGGGAAATTGGCACAAATAATGTGACTGTCACATAAAGAAAGAGTGAACTTAATTACGTCCTCGGTGCCACGAATTCCAAGCAATGTGGTCATTTGACCGGCGGCTGACATGTCCTCCGAGTCTTCACCTGCAAGCAGACATGCACACGAATTGATGTTTCTACAGTGAGAAACTTATGAAAACATCTTTGTTCTGCAGAAAGTTCAAAGGCTCACCTAAAGCTGACGATCTCACCGCAAACATCTTGTCTTTATCAAAATTGGTCAAATGCTCAGAAATCGCTTCCTTGATATCCGTGGGCATGCTTAGTCTCTCAACGGCACCAACCATCCTTAAAAAGACATCTTAATGTGCGCACATACGTAGACCCAATGTCATGAAAAACAAAACTTGCGTGTCTACAGTGAGTTTGATGTTTGTCGGAAAGGAAACTTGAGTGCGCACTGAGGCATTATTTCATGCATCAGAGAAGTTTTGCTCTTGCGGGAGGTGATCGTTTGTTTCCGACACTTAAGCTTACGGTAAATGGTTTAACCCCCGTATTCACAAACGTTCCTTAACTCGACTTCCACCCTTCCCTTGACAGAGTTGAGCGCTGCGCCACCGCTCGGCTGAAAATGACGCTTCGCTACTCAAGAATTGCAGCCAATTATCGCTGATATGCAATGACTTGCCGTGCCTAGAGATGGCGCTCGCACCGGCTTTCTCAAGTGAAGGTGAAGTGTTGAGTGAAGGGACGTTCTAAAATACGAGGGTTAGGATGACAATTAAAACGGCTGAATTTTCAGTGCATACGCACAAAACAGACTCCCGCACAGTCCAGCACGAATTTAAGGAATGTAGGAAAGATTGAAGACTAAGATCAGAAGAAGAGCAACAATGAAGTGGGATTTAAGCTGCCAAGAATTAGAGCTTAAAAACAAGAAAGCCACTATAGACAAAACTCTCCGGATCTCCGAAAAGAGCTACGCGGAAAGCCTGGGCAATTTTGTTCCTTCGGTGATGTATTCTCGAAAGCATCCCAGCAAGCTTCACCCCAAACTGAGTTTAAGTTAACCGAAACTCCAAAGACAGCGTGCTCTAATTTTGATTACTTTCAAAAAGTCTCCTTTTTATTATAATCCGTCGGTGAAATAAATTCTCAATGGACTAAAGAAGACCACTCCTGCAATTTCTATGAGCACAATTGTTTCTTTAAGAAAAAATTCAAATTTTCAGTGCAGCTCTTGCTATCGACGTCACTACTTAGGAGGAAAGCAATGCGTTGTGCGTGAGCTAGAATTCTAGATAGCTGCAAATAAATAAATGAATATAAAATTCTAGTGTGCGAGGAGGTATGGAGTTTTCTCTGCAAAGCAAGCAGCGGTTTCTACCACGGGGGCCTGTCGGTGCCTGAAGCTGCTTGGTAACAAAAACAAACGCAATATGAATGTCATGTATTTGTTGGCGTCTTCTAGCGGATGTAAGATTTACGTGGCAAAATCAGAGAATCGGTTAGGGCGTCGAAACACGTAAACTGCGCAACCAGTGGGTGGTTTGAAGCTGCCCGACCACTACGATGTGTGCAGCTGGGCAGGTGCACGTGGCACCTTACGGGCCCGTGGAGCGCACCTCGCTAATGTACAAGAGTACGAATTATTGCGTAAAGCCCATCACGCAACTGCTCTTGCGGTAGGCATTCTAGGGCAGTTTAAAACGGTCAAAGTTACGCGCACGTTTCTTGTCATGCGGCACGGTTGAACACAATGCTAACGGGGTCCGATTATGCTATTGCGTTCTACTTTTCAAGGCACAACTCTAGAGTCCTTCAAGTCTTTATTGATGAATGGACGGTTAATGTTCCCACCCGTTGATTCGGTGTAAATAAGGGAACCCATCGACAGAAACACGGTTTGTAACAGAAGCAGACTTAACAGGGGTAGTATACAGTATTCCCGACAAGCCAGCTGATTTTTCGATGCCAAGAGCAATCTTGTCGAAGGCTCATGATCCTCTTTGGCGCTGTACTTTTAAATACTCTGTGGTTGCTGTCAAGTGCTGTCACTGTCTCCTGTATCGTCAACTTAGCAAGCCTATTTATTCGTTGGAAACACACCTATGTTCTCCAGATAAAAACAGTTTGGCCTCCGGACAAAAAAACTTACGCGTTGGTTGCAGAATGTTTATTGTTTATCGTATCACTGAATGGCCGAGGCGGTTTATGCTAAAATAGTTTTAAACTTTCTTTTGTCATGTAAAAAAGCATATACTCGAAAGCTGGATAACTTTAACTATATAAAGTTTTACCCAGGTTACAAACACTACGTTTTTAAAACGAAGGATTTATGGAGGATGAATGACCCGCAAATGATATTTGAAGGAGCAGAAATTTTCGCGTTGTAAAAGTGGTTACACGTTACAATGACAGTCAACTCTCTGGTAAATGTTCGCTTTTATTTTATATATTTTTAAAGATTATGATTGTGTGGCGAAACTCACAAAATGAAGGAAGAGCTATGATCTTTTGCAGGAAATGTGAGCGTGTGTCTTGAAACTGGTGTCGTACCATGATTGTTTCGCCCTTGATTGTAGCATAATAAATTAAACGGGGAGAGTTTGTTTAGTGCCCTATTTCTAACAATTAGTTGGAAAATGGCCAATGAAACTAGCGATTCGACAAAAAATTCAACTGTGAACATTGACTGCCTCTCAGAATAGCTTCACTCAGCAGATAAAATTTCACCAAGCACCTCTGTTCAAAATCACATTAATTATAAAATATGAGCTTGTAATTTTAAAGTGGAAATATATCGGAGAGGGTGTAATGATGCCTTGGTTGTACTTGCAAGAAGAATAGTCATTGTGAAGCTACACGAATAAAGTAGGGTTAAGTAACGTAGTCCCAATCATTATGGCGACGTTATGGTCGGACACAAAACTTTATTGTTAATCTTTCTTTTTACGTTTCCTAGGCAGAAAAGTAGCGTTTCGTGTTCCATGATCTATTGCACATATCAAATTTTTGTAGAAATTCTTATCATTCTATTTTGAGTAGGGTTCCATGCAGCTATTTAAATCATCTCTAATGTGTGTAAAGACTACCCAGTAAAGTACACATACTTGGTGCAAGCGTCTTTCATAGCTTTCTGCCAATCATCTCTGCAAAAAAAAGGAAGAAAGAAATTCAAACAGGTTACTAAATAATCCCCGCCACCAGCACAAAATGAACAGCATTACCTATTTGAACTACTTCTTCATTCATTTCATCAAACCAAACGTGTATCATTCGTACATGTGCCCGCAGGCAAAAGTGAGTGGAAAGAAACAGTGAAGTTACTTGATAAAACTTTTCGTATTTTTGTAATGGAGCACCCACAATGAAGATAGAGTTACCGCCTTTTCAATTTCCATCAAGCCACTTTTTCTTATTGCGCAAGAGCCTCGGCAAGGTTAGCGTGCTTTAACACCTTTTCGACTGCCTGCAGTAATCCTCGAGTAACACATTACAAACTGCTAAGCTCGTAAAAAACATATGTCGCAATTTTTTTAAAAAGAAACAGAACCGGTGCCTAAATGTGAAAATATGCTTAATTGATCAAGCATGTTTCTGAGGCACCACGAAGAGGTTATCTAACTAGGCAGCAATGTTATCATTATCTGCCATCTATTTATGACTATTGTCATTTTCTTGCTCAGAAACACATTTAAAATAAGGCATTATTGATGTACAACGGACACTCACCCAGTCATTGATGCCTCCATTTCTCGCATCAATTTTCGAAAAACCTCATTGGAGGAGAAGAGCTTGTAAGACGTGGTTGTGACAATAAATCCACGAGGAACTGAAAACTAAACCAATAGCAAGTATTGTGAAATGACACTTCTCGTGTGCACACACATCACACTGAAGAACGCTTTTTTATCAAAGTAAAATACACGTGGTATATGTAACTTTTGCGACTTGTGTTTCCGCGTGAACTTACAATCATTCATTTTCTTTTTCATTAGTTGAACAAGGTATCAACTCTCACGCCTGAAGGACCAGCCGCACCAATACGATTGCTAGAACAAATAACAACAGAAATAAGGAACCTGAAGGAATAAGACATGGCGGTGTACCTGAGTTAAACTTTAGCTCGAACCTGTTGTTTGCGCCACTATACTCCGTTTCATACATCAGGTGCAACGCTGTGAAGGCTAGGCAAGTAGTCCGTAAAGAAAACACGAGTTGTTGCTCCGCGCGGTTTCGTAGCCGAGTTGTCTGACGCGTCGCTCCGGAGACTTCACCGTAGTTTTGAAGTGCATGGGTTCGAATGCACGTGGTGCCATTTTTTTTATAATTTTTGCGAGTTCAATTCGTTTTTTCGGTGACACAAAAGGCCCACGCAGACGCTCCGCCTTCAATTTCGCCACGGTACGGGGAGATATTCCAGTGTCCTCGCTCACAACACTCAGCACTTCCCGCACAGATTTCTCCGGGAAACGCATCCTGGTACGGGCGTACACATTTGCAATTACTTGCTTGGCGTGCTTTGACAGCTTTGATGTGCGAAGCTCCGAAAATATTCGCGCAGGAGAGGTGGTCAAGGACACAGAGCTGGACGCCATTTTTTCGAAGCTGCCACAACAAGTAAAAAAAAACGGCGGCGCGGGTCGCGCGGAGAGCGAAAACCTGATACGAAAGCGACAAACATAAATTACCAACTCGCATATTTGGATTGTTTATCCGACAACACAGGCGTTTGTTTTTTAACCTGATGACAAATATGTATGCTTAGAAGTTTCCCGAGAAGCATTTATTGATTCTCGTACACCCCAAGCGACGCACTACTTTTTGGTCGCGGCAGCACACAGCGCAAACAAGAGTGCTAGCTTTGACAGCGTTGCACATCATGTATGAAACGGAGTGTAGGCCTTCTGCACTCTATAAGCTATATCGACTACGCCACGCAGCAGCTGTATAAGATATTCAAAATAACACAGAGATAGGACAGCCTTGATGAGTAACTGCGTGCATCTCCGGTCCCACAATAAGCTGCCATGGTGCATTCGGTGCAAAACCACCAAATCACAGTCAGTGTCTTTGGGTATGTACTCCATATCATGGCGAGCTGTTGTTGTAGGAGTGGTGGCCTCATCTTGTGAAGCCTATTGCAAATCAGAGAACTTGTCCGCAGTGATCAAGACTACACACCTAGGTGGTGCTCCGCCATAAGAAAACCCAAAAGGCGTATCAGCTTTGGGCCCCATCCGGAGAGCCCAAAATGCGGCAGTCAGGCTTAGCCTGCCCGTTCCAACGTGGGTTAAGCCCTCTGCGTGCTAGTTGCGTTTCTCAGGACTCTAAATAAAGTTCCAACACCCTCCGTTTGTTCAACAGGTACCCTACAATACACGAAAACCCTAGTCATAGTCTTTCGTATGTTGTCTTATATGGCTGAGCGTTTTCTTAACTTTATTTCTCATTGCATGAAGTCCTGTAGAACCAAAATACGTGCAAACTTTTCGAAGATCTCACTGTAACAATCCTACTGAGTATGTCATAGAAAACTATGAGTGCAAATGTATGAATCAAGAAACACTGCATATTCAAAAACATTTTTCAACAGCACCATAACATAACAATAAAACAGACAGGAAAGCCTGAAATGAAGTCAGAAAGCGTCTTTCTTTCCACAAAGAATCTTTCAATGGTGTGTTGACCACCACTAAAAAAAACAGGACAGCTCAGCAGTAGCCGCGCGAAAACCGAGGAAGTAGCATTGGTGGTGTTTCTTTCCTCCTTCCCCTCACCCTCAATTTCGTTTCCTGCTCCTTGCTATACTATATTCTACATGGCTGTGCCTCACGTTTTTACTTCTTCCTTTCGCTCCTCTTCCACCTACCATCGCCGATGCTCTCCCTTTCCTCACACTGACTTTCCTATTTCTCCTCCTTGCTAAGCTGCAGTGGGCCTGATGATTCATGGTATGCTTTCTTTTGTTTTTTTTTTCCTTTTTTTCTTTATCTTTCCCTTTGTCTCCTCTCTATCTTATTTTTTTTTCTTCCGCTTTCTTTTTCATTCTGTTTCTCAAACGTTTTTATGCCTCTGTATACATTTCTTTTGTCTATTTTTTCTGTGTCATTTTTTGTGTGCTACTATTCTTGCATTTTCTCAATATCTTTTTCTCCACCTTTCCATCTATCGCTTTTTCCCTGCCTTTGTACTGGTTCTCTCGCTTATTCGTTTCATTCCTTCACACGTCAGCCTGATGGACACATGTGTTCTCGGAGGGAAGCAGAGCATGCAGAAAGAGGCGGAGTAAGTCCGCGCAGCTCATAATGACAAAGATAACTAGGGCTCACAACTAACGAAGTTTTCTCGAATATAAACAGTTTCTGTGTTGACGATCCCATAGGCCATCGATAGGCTTTTGTGTTTTCATAACACGTCAATCACAGAAATCATCACCAAATACTAAATATGCGATGCCTTTCGCAGTGGTCAATTCCGGAAGAAGTAGTCGTCATTATCTAAAAGAAACAAACAAAGCAACACAGACACAAGCACAAGCAGACGCACAATACACTCTTCAGTGGTATTCCTGTTTGCAGGATTAGCTTTTTTTCTACAACGGCTATATCCTAAGTATCATGAATTTCGTCGTTCTAATATGCCTACCGTCTTAACTTCTTTAGCGATGGAGTGCAACACTGCTAGTGACGATCCCTTGCCTCCCGTCAAGTCAGGCATCTTGCTGCACTCGTTGTGGATATCTGACACAAGTGGAGAGCTTCCGCTCAGGTCGTGTTCTGCAGAAGCGAGCAAGAAGTACATCAAATACAATTCTCTTTATTTTTGTGAAGAGTAAAACATATTGGCAGCTTTGTTGTCAGTAGGTAAGTCATAAACACAGCCAATTAAAGTTCATTAGCCAGTCATTTACCGTTATTTCAAAATCAACGTCAGTTTTCAGCAAACATTGAGAAACGACGTTGCATTGATTCTACACCAGAAAAAAAATGTATTGCTGTGGAGTGGTTACCTTGAATAATCTTGTGCTTTATGTAACCAGGAAGGCTGCAAATGCTTTGTTGAGATCTAAAGAAATTTAACAGAGAGGGGGGTTTATTTTCAGGGTTAATTATCTGTGTTACTGCAAGCTCTCATAAAGAAAGAAGCTTCATTTTCATAAAAAGCATTGAAATAGAGTAATATCTTGTCGAGAATACTTTGTTTATAGTAGGCCTCTCGCTACGGCATGTTTCACTGAACCGATGCTTGCGTCACAGTACATGAATCACACCAAACCTCCACACGTTTGCTTACCTCTTAAGAACAATACTTAAGCCGCATCCTTTATAGTTCTCACTTTTGAGGTCAATGGCTGCAATGACGACTCCACAAGATCTGTGTCCGTGGTAGAAGACGACTTCGGGTGGAACTCTTTTTGTAGATACAGAAATGGTGTAATCACCTGCGCAAGATCTTTATCATCACTGAATGTAGCACTGTACACTCTAAAAAATTTTACACCCATAAGGGTGTATCTGTTTTGTCTCATGGGCAACACACTCTTAGGGTGTCTAGGAACACCCTAAACAATAAGGTGTTTAGAAACACCCTGAACCGTAGGGTGTAAAAACGTGACACCCTACTTTAATAAGTGTATGAACACCCCTAAACTATGGGTCTTGGATGAAGCTACACCCATGCGAGTGGGGTGTACACTGAAAACCCCCTTGAAACGCTGGCAGTTATATGGATGAGCATACTGAATCAAATGAAGCGCAATTAATGGGCAACAAAATCAGAGACACAGGAGATGAAGCTTAGACTTGTGTGTTGAGTAGAACCGTTCATAGCACTTCATTCCATCAAATATGCATCACCAACTGGCCCAAGCCTGAATTGTTCTCAGGGAGAAGCATATATGAACCTTATCTGCAGCTGACAAAATAAGGTGCCATGGTCTTGAATGAGCTGCATGAGACCAGTGTATATATGTGTACGTAGACTGGGCCTTAAACGACAAAGACGCGGAAGGCACTTACACACACAGACACACACACACCCCAGTAGCGCAAGCAGTAAGTAACCTGTAGCGTAAGGTCCAACCGAACATAACGCCGAAGCAAAAAACAATTAAGCCCATATGTTAACATCTGCCTTTATTATAGAAAAACTGCAAATCCGACACACAGGACTCTGATGGCATTCTGTAAAACTTTGAAATATGTCACGGGACCAAGTTTTTTTCTCTCTATACTAAACATTCATTGTTTTCAATACAATAAATCTCCACATCTTTCAAAACATTTGCGCTAGTCGGGCAAACGACTGAGACGTGTGGCGTTTGATTGACACCTATACAATAGAAAAAAAGCACGTAGAAAGAGTAAGCGAGTTTGTGGAGTCACATTTACAACCTATTATATCTCGCAGTATAAATTTCGACATTAAAAGAGAACATTCAACAAGGTAGTGTAACTGGGGTTGTAATAATGTAATGTCAGTGTTGGTATACTTCTAACTGCAAAACCACTCGTCACTGCTGCTTGCACAATAATCTTCAGCTGCTGAGATGACTGGTGCCTTCGAGAGAAGTGGGACGAAGCTGTTTTTTCTGTACAGGAAATTCAATCCCGGAAACCTAAAATAAATACACAAGAAACAATGACTGAAATTTCACAAAGAGTGCAACATACAGTGTGCACCATGCATAACTAACTGCTTTCTCATGTGTAGGTATAAATTCAGTGCATAGCAAGCATATTCAGTGGCATCGGGCTCCTATGCAGTGAGAAACGCTAAAAAAGGTATGCTGAGCAATAAACGCCATAAAAAGCGCACTGTGGCAGAATCATTATGCCTTTCGTGCCGTAGATATGAACCCTACTTTACCCTTTCAGCTTGCTCGCGCAGGCAAATAGAAAGGTGCTGCTCCAAGTTGATAATGTTCCATAAGCTGCATGCAACGACCAATCTAAGTGAATGTCAAGTTCTATGCTTAAGCATGCATCAACACAGCTGCGTGTGTATTTCTGCAGATCTACCATGGTACTCATTCGATTAGTTTATTCAAAGGAATACAGCTAGTACGACGCGCAACGACATATACATATTTTATCTGTATTGCACGAAAGCACAATGCCACTGAGCATACGTGACTGTATGCGCATTGAAAAGGTATTCAGTGCAGGTAAATTGTAAAATGAAGTACTGTACCGTTACGTATTAAAATGCAAATGATACTAGTGTTCTTGAATGGGCTGACATTGACACGATTATATAATAGAAGAATTGACGTCCCAGCCATCTTGGTGACCACCGCAAATGTATTCAAAAAAAATCGCACTGATTTTACTGCATTAAACAAGGTAACTGCTAGAATATTTCGCAGACAAATAATTTATTGGTCACGTGGCTGCCTCCTGAACTTCCCGGAATCTCGTCTGGAAGTTTGTGAAAAAAAATTATTTCAAAAGTATATCTTCTTCCGTGCCAAATTTGGTCTACAAGTTAAGTGAAGGGCTTGCGTAAAGTGTTTGAAGCTCAGTAATAATATTACCATTTTTCGACCACCTACGCCTCAAATAATTTAGCCGAAATGTTTTATATCTGCATTTTTCTATATTAATGCTGCACTTTGAATGAATATCTGAGGAGTGAATGCTTAATCTACATAAGGTATATTTGAAAGAAAAAATATTTTAGACCTCTCAAGCTGTCAAACTTTACGAGAAAAAATCACAAATTTCACAAAATAATTGTTTTGTCCATAATGAGACACAACTTGCACCATGAGGTGGTTGAATTAAAATAGACTTTGTACCTAAATCGAAGCAAATAAACAGTTCTTTTCATGCGACAAATTTTGTCATAGCAATTTATGTTTTGAGAACAAGATCACAGCATATCCTCGGGGTGAATGATGATAAGTGGGGCGTAGCGTTCGTCCGTCCGGACGCACAAACGGATGGACAGACAGTCTGACGCAAGTATGAACGAACAGAAAGACGGACGGACTCACGGACAGAACCGACACACGGAAACCCGGACGGATGGATGCACAGACGAACGGACGAAAGCACAAATGTAAGGACGAACGATTCGCCCCACGAATCATCATTTTGTCTGTGTATATGCTGTGAAAACCACTAACGCTATCTATCGTGCAACTCATCAAGTGGCTACATAATACTAGTACGACTACAGAGGAGGGAATGACCCACGGCCTCAAGAGCTTTGCCCCTAAATGATTTTTGAAGTTCCAGGTTCCCCATTCGCCATTTGGTCATACAGCAGCCAACGCCTCGAAGTTCCCCATTGCCGTTCATGGGAAATTTCAAAAAAATATTTTATTCCTTGAAATAGAAATTGTAATGATAAAACTTGTCACATACAAAGAACTGTTTATTTTTTCAATTTAGGTAAAAGGTGATTTTTATTTGGACCACCACATGGTGCAAATTGCGCCTCAATACGGACAAAAATGACAATTCTGTGAAATGAGTGATCTCTTCTCGTAGAGGTTAACAGCTTAAGATGTCTAAAAATAATTTTTCATCAAAATATCTTTTCTGTGAAGTAAGTAGTCACAGCTCAGATATTCATACAAAGTGCAGTATAGCAATGAGAAAAATCAAACATAACACACTTTGGCTAAATGCTTGCATACGTATGTGGCCGAAAATTTGTATTATTATTGCCGAGTTTCAAACACCTTACATAAGCTCGTTTACTTAACATGTACCAAAATTGGTATAAAAAAGGAGCGGTACTTGTAAAATAGTTTTTTTTTTTCACAAACAACACTCAAACAACAGTCTGGAAAGTTTGAAAGGCAACCACGTGACCAAAAACTTTTTTCTCTCCGAAATATTCAAGCAGTTCACTGTTTTCAGTGCATTAAATCAGCACGATTTTTTTTTTCAAAAACATTTGCCATAGCCGCGAAATTGGCTGGAAAATGTCGAATAAAGTGAGCGTGTTACCTGCACTCAATGACCATTGCATACTGCTAAATTACGGCCATTTGTTTCAATCATGCTGTCAGGGTGAGAAAGCATAACTCCTGCCCGATGCAGCGTAGGCTGTTCAGTGGCTGTGCGTCTTGTGTTCCCAGATAGATATGCTGCCCAGTCTTACATTTTGGCTGCAACACATGCTTAGATACCGTGCAGTATGTATAACATTAAAGTGTTTTTGTGCAACAAAAAACTAATAACACGCTTCACATAGCGAAAATACTTTTAACATCTGAAGTACTTAGCGAAGTTAAACGCCAAAGCGAGGCGATGGCAATAAAACTCTGAATAACAAGAATATTTTGAAAGTTACACATGATGGAAACAATCTGAATAAAATGTGCTCGAACGTAAGCAGTTATGTTCAAACAAGCGTTTGCGCTGTTCAAGTAGGCAATTCGACCACACATACAGACTAAAGGTCTGTTCAAACAGAAGTCCAGCTTGAGTGCTCGATCCGCTACGTAGGCACGGCTGACGGCAGTGTCACGCTACGTTGCGGGTGAACGAAAAACTGGTGAAGACAAATTCAACGAAATTGAATGTATTAGCAAGTAGGCAAACTTCGCGAGGCGCACCTAACGCGAAACAATATGCTGTGTTGTCACCCGATGCATCAACCCGAGTTATCACGGTAGTGTTACCGCACAAACGAAAAAGAACTGAAAAGTACGACATGGACACCACGCCCTTGTTTTCCGTTCTCGGTCTTTTTGTGCAATAAGAACAAAAATAAAGTAAATGAACTACCGTCATGCCCAAGCATATGCGTCTTACATACGGTTGATGCTTAGAGCTAACAGGCGCCGTCCCCACACATGTGTCAATTGGTAAACTAAAATTGATGTGCAGCACGAGCGGGCCCCGTTAAAAACGGTTGCCAACAAAGGGCACCGCAAAACTCTGTTCAATTTCTTCGCCGAACATCAGCGGCGCACGCTCACTCTGCTTTGTACTCCAAACAATCTAAACAAACAAGCAAAAAAACTTGCCCACAATCACACTTCGCCATCGTCCCCGTGAAACAGTTCGGACAAATATTCTCGCTAAGTAAACATATGCTGATTTGCCATCAACTAGTTGAAAACAAAGTTGTTTGAAGGCGTCATTCTCGTGCTCACGCAGTTAACAAAACGCTGAACAGAACAACGTGAGAGCGGTACTCACTATTTCACTTCGAGTGCTCCACAATATGAATCCACAGGTCCAGTCTTCAGGATGGTGCACCTTCGCAATAATAAGCACTGACAGAACACACTGGTGGAGCACAGAGCGCGGGCACATTTCAAACTAAACACCGACTAATAAACTCTACCGATCGAGAAGCCACGCGCACCACACGCACACACACGGGAGGGTTAATCGCCAGCGCACGCAGTGACATGTAAGACGATGTCGACCCCTTTTCCGCGATGTGAGCCCGGCGCGCAGCAATACCGGGCAGCCACAGAACACCTACCAGCAATACCGGGCAGCCACGGAGGAAGGCGGGCAGCCAAGGTTGTCTAGGCGACGAGACTTGATGGCACCTTGTGGCGCTCTCAGACCGGCTAGATGCGGTTTAACGCTAGCTCCGGCCCTATGCTGATAACGCGGGCGCTGCTTTTATTTATTTTTTTGCGGCAGTGATCTGCTGCGTTATACTCGTTCTTTCACAGTGCATCTGAATAGCAGTGAACTTTGTGACGGTGCAGTGCGGCCAGCATGAGCTACTAGTCAGAACGCGCATTTGTAATATTCAGGAGCAATGTTTAGCGCACCTTCACCGACCAAACGTAGTGAATTTTGGTAAAAAAGCTAAGCTAAGCTGATGCTTTTTGCTTAGCTCTATGGGTCTTTAGGGACTGCACATTCAAGGTCACGCAGGCGATATTTTATCAGCACTTTCATTTCGGTAAATACATTGCAACATTGCATGCATCGGCCGTCACACTATTCGAAGAGAACATATTGCCACGTGCGTACTGCTAGGAAGACGAAGACGACAGCGCATACGCGCATCTGCACGCTTTTATTTATTTATTTATTTATTTATTTATTTATTTATTTATTTATTTATTTAATGCATACTGCAGACCTTCACAAGTCCAAGCAGGTGGGCACGGTACAAGCAGTAAGTACATGTTAGGCACTCAAGTCACATAGAAAAGGAAAAAGGAAAGAATTCAACATACAAATACAGGTTTACACACCCAACACACAGTTTACACACAGTAAATCAACCAAAGTGAATCTTTATACAGAGTTTTTTAGAAGGTTCCATTCTTCCAACGTTCGTGGAAAAAAAGAAAATTTAAATACATCTGTCCGTGCAAAATAAGGTGTTTGGGTTCCGGGCTGATGGTGTCTCGTATGCCTTGTCGATATGGGTATCAGGTACTGTGTAGGGTCTAGTGCTGTTTGTCTTTGAAGAAGTTGGGAAAGAAAATTAAGCCTAAATGTCTTCCGTCGTGACTCAAGGAGTTCAATGCCATTAGCTCTAATTAACTCAGAAGGTGAATCTGTGACAAAACTTGAAGTATATATACCTAGACTATATATACCTTTTTATGCAGCAAGCAACAAAAAGAAAGAAGAGGAACGCTCTGGCACGCAGTAAATAAAAATACTGACCTGCTGCTACTTTCTCAACCTGTTAATTACTACTTCTGTCTTCACGTTGCGGCAATACATTTGTATTTAGCTTGCAGTCCTTGGAACAAGACCACGGCTGAGAATATTTCATCAATGCTGTTTTCTCACTACCTACAAAATCAAGGCTTTGACCGAAGCACGTCTGCTGGGAAAGATACATAAATTAAAAGAAGGGGATCCACAAAAAAAAAACGGAGAGAGAGAGAGAGAACTAGAGAACGCCTTTCGGCTCCCCTGAAGAAAGCTTTGTTCGCAATTCAGTCCACAAGGCTCCTGTCATTGTGAGCAAGGCTGCGTCGAGGTCACCTAAATGTCCTTATTCTGCATTTTTCTTTATGGTAGGTGTCCTCTTCCTAATTTTCATGACGCACTCTTAAGGACACATGAAGATGAACAATCGCTACAGTAATTAAATAAAACGTGCCTGCTAAAAATACATGACGTCAATGTTCGTTTTTAAGGGACCTGATGGCCTGCTGACGTGGTGGTTATCGCTAAACAACTGTGCTGTTGTTGTTTTTTGCAGGTGGTGGTTGTTTTATCTCCAGCTTTAAAAGCTTCGATCTTATGGGAGAGGGGGGAGTGTTCTATGCATGGTTACAGCAATGTGCGCAACAATAGCTTGTTCAGGTAAATCAGTGTACTTTGTGAGTGTTTACTAATCACGCAAATGACACAGACGAAAGAAACAGGTACAGGAGAATTGGCCCTTACTCTATTGAACAAGCGTCGCTCTTATTGTATCTTCCATCTTATAGTAGTTTGCGTGCTTTATCGACGAAAACTGCGTTACGGTCGCATTACTTTCTGCTTCGATTCATTACTAGACTCGCAAGCAGCTAGTAGTGGGAGCGTTGCTGGTATCAAGATGGTTAACGTATACTAACAGTATAAGCAAAATGGCCCGAAAATATCGTGCATTTGTAGCCTTGTAGGTACGTGTGCTCCGATTTGGGTGCACGTTAAAAAACACGAGGTGGTCGAAATTTCCGGTGCCCTCCACTACAGCGTCTCTTATAATCGTATGGTGGTTTTGGGTCGTTAAACGCCACATATCAATCAATTATTTGTAGCCTTGCTCATTACACCCCAAATATAAGGGTGTAAATGGGGTGTTTTAAGGGTGTTTTAATTTCGAACACCTCAAATTTCAAAAATGGGACGTAAAAGGGTGTTCATATGGGTGCTCTAAATGCGTACACCCGTTTTACACATTTTAATGTGTAAAATTTTTTAGAGTGTACACTACAATTTAGTAACACCAGAATCAAGGAGAACTCGTGAATTGTGGTAAAGCATTTGAGAGAAAGTTTATTATGTGGCATGCGAATGCACGCTTAGAATAAAAAAATACCATAACAAAAAACCTATTATAATACCAATATTCATCACAATATTTTCTGTCACTAGTACACACATTTATGTTGGGCATAGTTGCACAAAAAATGGCAAAACGTAAGCTGCAAAAGTTTTCTGTATGCTCAACTTTAATGGCACAAGTACTTCTGAAAAATTGTGCTATGTGAAAGTTACATCAATTTTACACTCCCAGGCCATCACCACTCCTTCTTCATCTCAAAAAACGCCCTTGCATCGAAAAACTATAAGTGATATTTTTTAAAGGCTATAACCATCATCGGCAAACGTTTTTCCTTACGTGACGAAAGTTTCTTCCTACTATATTTTGGAGTTTTTATTATCAATGGTCGGGTAATACCCCCAGCGGTCGTAAAAGATGTCACTTGTTGTATGACACTGCAATCTTAACTTTTAAAAAATGGGTCTCTAGAGGTTACATTTCTTTTTCATGATGAGTAGAGGACAAATATTTTGACCGATCCCAAACTTTGTGACAATCGATTTCGAGCGAACCAGTCAGCGAGTAGGATATGCCGCATTTTCCTGGTTTAAGCACAGAGTTGTGTGATGGGTTAGCATGTTTGAGTATATATGAGTGGTTGTGCGGCCACTGTGGCCTAACTAGATGCGCTGGTGCCTAAACGCAACGTGCTCCGAAGGAACGTCAAAACCCCGTTAGGACACAATGGTATGTCCTATCGAAAAGAAGTGCACACTTTGGTGCAATAACGTGCATATCAAAGTAAACGTCATCAGGGTATTTCTCCTGGTTTGATCAACAGCAGACAACAGTTTTCTGAGTCACTGCAATACATATGCATATCACATTTTTTGTCAGAGTGGACAGCCAACTCTATAACGTGGGTTCTTTTCCTGAAGCCGTACGTAGCTATGCTGTACAACACTAGGCTGCCAATCAAAACGCCTGGGTTAAATACCAGATGAAGCCAAGGTTTTATCAGTGAAGCTACTTAAGATCAAGGCTTATACATTAGCGTTGGGGTCGGCGGGTACCGTAGATGCCACTGACGATGGCGATGTTGCTCATGAAGATGCTGAACAAGCGCGTTAGAGACCACACATTCTCTTTCTGCCATCCTGGCAAAGCACGGGGACCCACTATACGTCATGACAATTACGATGACGATCACAGACAACGACTGCCTTGTGCAGTCACTTATGTCTGGATGTGCTCTATGATGCAATTTTTACGACTAGAAACAAGCAACAGCCACCATCTGAACGTGCCCAGACCTTGTTTTTGCAAACTTTACGCTAGATCTGATACCACAAAGCAATAATAATAAAGTAAAAACGAAATTCAGAACTCCACACAACATAGCAGGTATGATCAATAAACTTTGTGTATAACGGTAGATGCCCTCGCACTGATTTAAATGCGTAATTGGTGAATCTGACGGCTGATTTGCGGTAACACGGAACGACCCCGCTGCTTCACCCACTCATCATCATTCACTTCGAGAATAGACCGTGACTTTTTTTTATTCTTTACAGCCGTCGTGTATTTGCCCGACTGACAATGCCACCGACGCCGGACATTCTTCAAAATAGGTTTCTCAGCGCTATCACGTCAAGACATTCTGTCCTCACCGTTCCTGGAATAATATAGACTGTCAAACATTTGTGGAGCACACGCGCATTCCACGGACTGTGGTATCGGGGTTTGCACAACATGGGGCCCATGGGAATCTCTTCAGTATCTCTGAGACAGGCACTTATAAGTGTCGAATGACATTGTATTTGTTCTTTATGCAACGACATTCTCTTGCACTAATTTTCTTATATATGCAATTAAAAGGAGAAAATCCCGAGAGCGTCCATCTATGGGATGAGGGATAGGTGGACGGACAAATGTATGGATCAACGAGTGATTCCAGGCTGCTACTTAACCCTTTACCCTTATTAGACATGTTAATGGGATTCTTTAACCAACGTTAAACCTGCAAGGGGACCTCTTGCGACGCAGTTTCAAGCGCAAGGGTAGCTCTGCGATAGCAAAATAGGCTGCCGCAAAGAGGGCCTGGGCGTGTATACCAATCTATACCGGGCACTATTTGCATGTATTTTTTTATTTAACGTGAAAGTGGTTATGGACACTGGCAGAGTGGCGGAAAACTACTACAACAAGATGAGATCTTTTTGTGATCTCATAGCAGCTTTTGCCGCAAAACTACGACGCCGAATCACATATTCACCGATTAAGTACGCTTCCTACTGGTTTTCATTGTCATTTTCGACGTAAGTTTGGTTGGCAATGTCACTGATTTTGCTTAAAGTATGGAATTTAAAAAAAAGCGCTACATTTCCATCCTCGAGGACAATATTGAAGAAAAAAACATCCACTATTGCTACCTTGTTGAATCTCTAAGGATTACAATATAAACTCTACACTTGAATGCCATCATGACAACTTACCGCCTCGTACGTGCAGTTGGCCACACTCAGCCTTCAATTCGTGCTTGCTCTTTTTCCCGACGTAGTCAATAGATCGCATCTCGCATGAGGGAGCGTAAACTGATCCGTAGTAGATCCTGGAAATGTAAAATGCCCCTTGATTCCTCACTGTTTTTTATATTACAATGGCGTGATTATTATGCAGGCAAACGCTGTCGCATGCAGTGGATCCTGTAAATGAAGCCTCTAATATAGCCAAGTGAAGTTTCTCTTTCCAGCTACATAATATTACGACGTGAATCCCAAGTATCTTTTCTCTAACATTGGTTTGGGCAGTGGTACTTGATAAGAGTTGATAAGAGGCACGAAGAGAAGGCAGACTTGACCTTGCCTTCCATTTGTCCCTTGTATGAAATTCTGCTGTTAAAACCAATCTTTTTCTATGAAGTAGCTAGCTCCAGCCAATACTGATTGGATGTTTTTTTGTCATGAATGAGAACGCTACGCTTATGTAGCCTCGATAAAAACTAAGCACTACAGCCAATAACGCTGCACATTGTCTGCCACTGCACGCAAAGAGCACTTTGCTAATGAAAGGAACAACATGAGTAAATATAAAGAAAAAATATGACCAAATAAATTCCGCAATGCTGCGTCCTTAAAGAATTTATGCGTTTATGTGCGTCTTCAATTATTTTTTCATGATATATATGCGCTTTTTTTTCTCATGGCGCGACATAATAAAAGGCGCCTACTCGATTTGGTCATTACGAACATTTTAATGCGCTTGCTCATTCAGTTTCTGCGCTAAGCTTAATCATTATTTGAATTTTTGACATGCGCAATAGTATGCATATGCTAACATTTGCCAGAGAACGTAGCGCAATGTGGTTACTGCCTCAGCAATTTCGCTCTTGCAAACATTCAAAGTCACTTGAATAACCAAAAAAAAACTAAATACCGATTTCCCGTCATTTCTATCTGTTAGAAAAGAAACCTCACTTTTTTCACTAAAATAACTATATAGGTAAATCGCAATTACAAACGCTGTACACTATTCCAACTATCATCTCACGCCTTCCTCACAGGTAGTCGTCTTAAAATGGCAATATTGACCCCAGTCTAGCAAACATAGGCTCACCCATTTTTCGCTCCGTATTTGCTCGTGCGAATCAAATGGTACATGTCCCCATTCTGAAATAAATACAAAGGCAGTGAGCAAAAGCAAATCGACACAAATTATAGCGTAACGCGAGGGCGCAGTCATCAACGTCACTAATATGTGACACTAACACATAGTTAGAGCTAAGTTTTTAAGAATTCATTACAAGTGATACCACTGTAATTGTAGGAACTAACCTTTATTGTTCAACAATATTAGGCAGTGCATCATTTTTGTACAAGTAAATACGTGTATCGTAAGAGAACGAGGAACAGGTAAAAGCAGCCCCAACTACCATCGCAAAAAAAAAACTTCAAGGCATTTTCCAGCTTCGCGAGCATCTAAAAGATTTCTTCGCGCCTTTCCACAATCATATTATTAGCAGTTGGCTCCTCTGCTACGTCACTTTTCATTAGGTGTCCTTGAAGTTTTTGAAACCCCGACTTAGAACCTTTCCATCTTTTTGACGTGTGAACGTACCTCTATGATTGCGATGGTGTGAGAGGAGGTGTCTTACCACTCTACTACAGAAAGCGTCCAGATCCCAATTTTGTCCTGAAGTCATGCTAGCATCACACGCTTCAAAAACAGTAAGAAGTTGCAGCGTGCATTCACACGTGAAGAGAGTGAAGGACAGAAGAATGGAAAGAGGAAGGCGAAAGGCAGGGAAATTGACGAGAAGTTTGTCCAGCTGGCCACCCTGAGAAAGCTTTGTAAAACATTAGAAAGAAAGTTGGGAAGAAAAGAAGAAACGTGCTGGATAAGTGAGCATTCTGAAGTATTTGCAGACGGATTATCTACGCATTAGTGTTTCTCTGTCGTGGCTTTTCTGCATACTTATTCCAAACTTACTTTCATTCAGTACGTGACCTCATTATCATTACTTCTTCCCGCCATATTATCAGTTCTATGTTTCTGCAAAGCGTCGAATGTAAGCAGTCACAAGCGTTAAAGGAGTTTATGAAACATATGTGTAATTTACTCCGGTGGCATCCGTCAAGGTACTAAGTGCGCTCTTCAAAGGTCAATCTCTGCTTAGATTGAGCTTAAAGCATGCGGCAAAATGCAAGTGTAATGACTTTTGATCAATTTTTAAGCTTCTAAAGCACTTCATTGTACCTCCTATTCTAGTGACAATGAATGATGATTCGCAACATTTCTCGATTGGGCAGTCGTACTCGGCAGTTGCCGCCAAATTTCCCCACCTTAGATCCACGCTTTTGTGAAATCTCAGATACTCTAGTCCACCCAAAGTTCTTACGCATTGACCGAATGTTATAGTACGCGAATGATCATTACCTCAAGGAAGCCGATATGGTGGTCTTCTTCACAGACGTCTACTTGTATGTTTCCTGGAACCAAAGGCTCTCATGTTAGGTTGAATATGACAACGCCGCACACATTAAGTTACCTTCAGTGCTTCAGTGCTTCGAGTTGGTGCCTTTAACTAGCATGTGAACGTCGATCGGTCAGCTATAACCTCTTAAACAAACACTACGTTACGCAAGGCCATCTCGCGTAAATTACGTTCTACGTTCGCCACCACCGTTTTAACTGGCGGTAGCTACCATTCCCATGGTCACACAAAGAAATAACTAGGAGATGAGATTTTGAAATTACCGCCGCCTTAGCACAATATATAATGATTGCATCATGAAATAATGTAAAGCATACAGATGAGCACAGACTGAAGAAAATCAAGGCAACAAAAGAGCAGAATACAAATTGACAGGATGCACTGCATGGTCTATAGATAACTCCAGCTTTGGCATGCCGAATTGGGATTGCGCAGTTTTATGGAGACACAATAAATGTGTGTGTTGTTGGTTTCAACTACAATAGTAGAAACGCATGCGGGAGGTAGCTTTTGATCCGTATGTGGGTCTTGGCGGCAAATGGCGCTAACATTTATTTATTTATTTATTCATACTGCAATCCCTATTACATAGATTTTAGCAGGGTGGTTACAGATATAATTTTCACAATGTTGGCGCTCAAGAATGCATAAACCAAACAAACAAACAAAAAATAGAACGGCATGATGTGAACAATCAGGTCAAATGTGCTGCAAACAACTTTAAGGACGGCTCCATCACTTGGTTATTAGTTAGTCTATTCCACTGAGTTACAGTACGAGGGAAGAAGGAATATTTGAAGCAGCTATTTTGGGATTGAAAAGGGGTTATTGTAAGTTGATGCCTTTGGCGGGTGGCGTACCCAGAAGAAAAGGAAATGATATTGGAAACATCAAGCTTGTAATGCCCTTTAATTATTTGGTAAAGAAATTGTAGTCGTATTAAACGATTTCTTTCGGTAACCGAAGGCTCATTGGCACGATGTAGGAGTTCAGTTATAGAGGTGCGTCCAAAGCTATTGAAGATAAAGCGGACTGCCTTTTTCTGCACGTTTTTCAATTTAGTTATGTTAGCTTTAGTGAAGGGGTCCCAAACAATCACTCCATATTCTAACACTGGGCGAATGATAGTCTTGTACGCTAGAGTACGCACCGTGGAATTAGAATGTTTTAGAGCTCTTCGAAGGAAGAATAGTTTTCGGTTAGCGTTTGTAATTACGGAGTCAATATGTTTAGTCCAGCTAAGGTCATTGGTAATCCAAAGGCCAAGATACTTAATGTTAGCTACCTCCGAAAGGGTGAAACTTGCGGTGGAATAATTAAATAGTAGGGGTTTCTTCTTGTGGGTTATTTGTATAAATACTGTTTTATCGAAGTTAATTGACATCTGCCATAAATCACACCACTTCACAATGTTATAAAAGGCGCCATTCAGAATGCAATATATAGGTATGTGCATATATGTTTTGTGCCTTCCTTGTTTTCAGCGCAGTGCGCCCTTTTTGTTGGTACTTGACCTCTGGAGTACTCTGTCCTTTTACATTGTGTCCTTGTCTGCAGGACTTATTGTCTCTTTAGATGAAGCCTACCAACTAACGCTGCAGCTTCAGTCATTTTTAGCTACATGATAAGCGTGGTATAGCCACAGGGACAAGGAGTCGATGAGAACTATCACTTTAATACATTTGAACCCAATACATGAATAACAAAAACAATATAGTGCGTTATCACGGCTCACTTATTTATACATGAAGACAGGAATTGATACAGGAGCCCATTTAACAGCAAATACAACAAAAACATCAGGAAAACCAACTTTACATGGATATAAGTTACGCTTGTGCAGCTACTAAAGTAGTCTGCCTATTGTTAGTTGAACCGATGGAAGGATTGCCTACACAATCTCTTTAAGGATAGCCGCAGCCTCAATTATGATGTGCGTGTTATCCTGGTAATTCCTAGCTAAACTATGTTTCTCGTCGATTGCTGGAACGCATTCGCATTGCCAACAATGAATTGCGACAAAGCCTTTCGTTTGCTAAAAAAACACCTATTACCGCCAGTTATGGCGGTATAAATTAAAAGTTAGAGACACTACGGCAGCATTATCATTATACTATGTTTGCGTCCACTCTGCATCTGAACACCGTATACCATATTTACTCCCGTACAACCCGCACCATCAGGAACGCTGCGAGGAAACATTCCTTAAAATGATCCACAAATTTTGCTGCAGTGCTGTAGATTCTCTGTGTAGCTCCGGTCGCACCAGTTAAGACAACTTTGTACACACATATGTTTCTCCTGGCTGTCCACGAAATTGTCACGCAGTAAGCTCTTGTCTTCGCGTCAGAAACGAGAATGCAGAAAGCGCACTTCAAGTCTTGTAAGGTCTGGTCCTCACGGTGCATGAATAGGGCTTGCCTGACAATAACTAGTGAGCCTGTGTGGTCAGTTGAGCGACTAGGTAAACAATCCTTTTATGAAACGCACTCGTGTGTCTTTTTTCCCAGCTTTTTTTTCTTTGCCAAGCAGTTTCAGTCCAGTCGATATACATTCAAGTTGACTTACAATCGTTCAAGCACAAAACAATAAAGCCTGTAATTACCAAAAGGTTCCTAATTAGCGAACTTATTATTTCTGGGCAGTTGTAGTAGGTTCATATTTATAGTATACTTTTTAATCCCAAGAAAATGTGCGTTATCTGAGATAACCATCGAGATTCAAGGTACCGATAAGGCGACGTAGAAACATAGCGCACAGAGTGCGCAAGATATGCCGCAGCTGTGCAGCTCCATCAGATTACGACGCATATGAAACTGAGCGCGAAACTATACCCCCCCCCCCTATACTAATGTTTTTGTTCGATATCGAAACAATTTCGTATTACTTCATCCCTACACGCTTACCTTGATTCTTGATCTTGAATCCCCAGAGGCGCAGCTCCCTCCACTCACCATCCACTACGATTTCACCAGACATCATACCAGCTTGATCGTACGAGTCCATTTCAGTCGTCAATCTATAGGAACACGAAAAGGAATATATATATATATATATATATATTGTGAAGAAGAAAGAGCGTCGTTGGCAAGCAACATCGCCACCGCTTGGGTACTGGGTGCTGGGCTTCGCTCGCTCGGCTCGTGCTGATCATCGCTGGCATCTGCTTGACCGTTGCTCTTGCACGATCGTGTTTCTTCGTAGGACCACCGTCTTTAGCGGAGCTGATGAGACCGACGTGGAAGACTGGTTCGCTAACTATGAACTGGTGAGCGCGAACAACAAGTGGGATAACGCGGACAAATTGACTTACGTCATCTTTTATCTCACTGACGTGGCCGAAATGTGGTATAACAACCACAAAAACGACATCACGACGTGGTCCGTCTTTAAAACCTTGTTTGCTGACGTTTTTGGCCGACCCGCAGTCCGCAAGTCCAGAGCCGAACAACGCTTGCGGACTCGCGCACAAAAGCCAACGGAATCTTTCACCAGCTACATCGAAGACATTATTGGTCTTTGCAACCGTGTGAACACCACCATGCCCGAGTCGGAGAAGATTCAACACATCCTCAAAGGGATAAATGACGGTGCATATCAGCTGCTCCTGGCCCGTAATCCTGCCACCGTTGCGGAACTTGTCACTTTGTGTGAAAGTTTCGACGAGTTGACCAAGCAGCGCGCCCTGACTCGGCCATTTTCCTCACACGCCGACTCGCTCTCCAGTCTCACTTCTGTTCCCGACCACTCACCAACCCTGCAAGAGATTAAAGACTTTGTGCGTGAAGAAGTAGCTCGGCAACTGTCGTTGATTCCCTTCACGCAGCAGCCGCCGTCCTCTCGTCTGCCCTCACCACTCCGCGACGTTATTGCCGAAGAGGTAGCTCAGGCTGTTCCCGTCGCTGCCCACCAGCAGCCTGTGGCCATGCCTGTTGCCCATGCGCCGGCTATGCAGCCCGTGGCCGCGCCTCTTACGTATGCCCAGGTGGTACGTAGCAGACACCGCCAGCAGCATTTGCCACCCATGTCTTCAGTCGCTCCCCACTCCGCCCCATTTTCGACACCTTGGGCCGCACCACGAGTCAGCAATTCCTGGCGCACTCCTGACAATCGACCGATCTGCTACGCCTGCGGTACTCCAGGACACGTGGCACGATATTGTCGCCGTCGCTTCCAACCACTCCACGACGCTACTCGGCCGTTACCGTATGACCCACAGCCCATGCACATACCTGCTCCCTATCCCTCACCGCAGTATGGATACACTAACTTTCCTGAGTCTCGGTCACACCAGCCTCAAACTCACTCTCCCCGCTCCCCATCTCCTCGCAGGCGATCACTGCCCCATTGCGTCCTAGACCCGCTTCCTCCAACCGGGAAAACTGAACGCCGCAGTTCCAGAGGCAAGAACTGCGCCGTCGTCGAAATGCTCAAGTCCTCGCACTTCACCAGCTAACGTCGTCGCTATATCTGTCGATGGTGTTTCTACCTTTGCCCTCGTCGATACAGGTGCTGCCGTTTCTGTTATAGCCGCCCAGCTCTGCCGCTCCCTACGCAAAGTGACCACGCCGCTCTCTGGACTATCGCTTCGTACAGCTAGCGCACAACAAGTTCGACCTCTTGGCACCTGTACGGCCCGCATATTCATCCAAGGCTCTATGTACGTTGTCGAGTTCATCGTCCTTTCGGTGTGCTCGCATGACGTTATCCTCGGGTGGGACTTTCTGTCAAATCATCATGCCATCATCGACTGCGCACGCGCTGAAGTTCAATTTTCGCACCTGTGTGACGAACCTTTGCACGAAACCCTTGAGCGGTCGCCAAAACTTGTCGTGCGTGAGGACACTGAAATTCCGCCAGCCTCTCTTGCCGTTGTCCCGGTTTGCTGCGATGACTATAACGATGCTACAGTAATGTTTACACCTTCCGACATTTTCATGAGCCGCAGAGCCGTTTCCTTGCCTTTCGCTACACTCGACGTCACTGCGGGCCGAAGCAATATTTTCGTCCACAACCCCCTTTCTGCACCGCTTACGCTACTTGCCGGCGAATGTCTCGGTAGAGTGGAGTACCTCGATTCCTCTTTATTCCTTAACATGCCAGACGAATCGTGCAGTAGCGCCTCAACCGAACTTCACGCCCTTTCCCCACTGGAGTGCTCATCGAGTGACACCTTCTCGAGTTGCATCGCCGACACCTTAAGTGCCCATGAACGCGCCGAGCTTCTTAATCTCCTCCAGCACTTCGCCAATTCATTCGACGTTTCTCAGCCGCAATTGGGTCGGACTTCCGCAGTGCACCACTACATTGACACCGGTTCGCACCAGCCATTTCGTCAAAGACCGTACCGTGTCTCTGCTGCAGAACGTCACGTCATCAACGACCAGGTCGAAGAGATGCTACGCCATCGCGTTATTCGACCATCGCACAGTCCTTGGGCATCTCCTGTCGTTCTAGTTCGAAAAAAAGATGGATCGATTCGATTTTGCGTCGACTACTGGCGATTAAACAAGGTGACGCGGAAAGACGTCTATTCATTACCGCGCATAGACGACGCCCTTGACAGCCTACAAGGAGCCGAATTCTTCTCCTCCTTAGACTTACGATCTGGATACTGGCAGGTTCCTATGGCAGAAGCTGATCGCCAGAAAACTGCGTTCATTACACCAGATGGCCTGTACGAATTTAACGTAATGCCATTTGGTCTTTGTAATGCTCCTGCCACGTTTGAACGGCTCATGGACAACACACTGCGTGGACTGAAGTGGTCTGTGTGTCTATGCTACCTCGACGACATTGTCGTTTTCTCTCCCGATTTTCCTACACATCTGCTTCGGCTCCAACTGGTTCTGACGTGTTTAACCAACGCTGGGCTCCAACTGAACCTTAAAAAGTGCCGCTTCGCCGCGCGAGAGCTGTCCATCTTAGGGCACATCGTCTCCAAGCATGGTGTTCGACCCGACCCTGCAAAACTGCGAGCAGTCGCTGAGTTCCCGAAACCTACTACACTGAAAGAATTACGCAGTTTTGTCGGACTATGCTCGTACTTCCGGCGCTTCGTGCGAAATTTTGCATCGATCATGTCACCACTGACCAACCTCCTACGCGGTGATGCAGACCTTTCATCCTGGTCTTCTGACTTCGGCGTCGCGTTTGCCACGCTCCGTAGTCTGCTAACATCTCCTCCAATTCTTCGGCATTTCGACCCAACAGCTGCAACGGAAGTTCACACAGACGCTAGTGGGGTTGGTCTAGGCGCCGTCCTCGCCCAACGCAAGCCGGGCTACTCCGAATACGTCGTCGCTTATGCGAGTCGCACACTTACTAAAGCTGAGGCCAATCACAGCGTCACTGAAAAAGAGTGCTTGGCGCTAGTGTGGGCGCTTCGCAAGTTCCGCCCTTATTTGTACGGTCGCCCATTCGACCTGGTAACGGACCACCATGCACTTTGTTGGCTCGCCACATTGAAAGACCCTTCTGGCCGCCTAGCTCGGTGGGCACTGCAAATCCAGGAGTACGACATTCGTGTCATCTATCGCAGCGGACGCAAGCATTCTGACGCCGACGCCCTGTCGCGTTCGCCTTTACCTCCCGACTCGGCCTGCGGAACCACTGGTATCTCCATGGCATCTCTCGACCTCGACTCCTTTACCAGTGAACAACACAAGGACCCGTGGATCACTTCTCTTTTTAACTGTCTTTCTGGATCGTCAACCACTGCGGTACCACGATCTCTCCGACGTCAAGCTGCTCATTTCGCCATTCGTGAACGCACCTTTACGTCTCGAGAACAACAGCGCCAGAAAGAAAGCAACGTAGACTCTTCACAAAGCCCCAGCTATTCCCCGGGATCACTTGTATGACTGGCTGTTCCTTACCAAACCCCCGGCATTTCCTCAAAACTCGTTCCAAAGTACGAGGGCCCATACCGCGTTTTGGAGCAAACCTCGCCGGTGAATTTTCTCATCGAGCCACTTTCCCCATCTGACGACATGCGCCGGCGTGGACGTGACATCGTCCACGTCGCCCGCCTTAAGCCATATTATAGCCCTCTGCCTCCAGACTCTTAGGTCGCCAGGATGGCTCTTTTTCGGCGGGGGCAAATTGTGAAGAAGAAAGAGCGTCGTTGGCAAGCAACATCGCCACCGCTTGGGTACTGGGTGCTGGGCTTCGCTCGCTCGGCTCGTGCTGATCATCGCTGGCATCTGCTTGACCGTTGCTCTTGCACGATCGTGTTTCTTCGTAGGACCACCGTCGCAACAGTAGACAATAAACCCTTTTTAATATATATATATATATATATATATATATATATATATATGTGATGTATGAAGCGATGGTTAGTAGAGGTTGAGAAGGAAGAAGACAGAATGGAATAAACATGGCGTATGAGTCAGGCCACGTCTCCCATTCATCGTAGCGTCACACAAGTCGACAGGATGAAGACCTCCCAGCAACTTCATCAGTGTCTCATCATCGACGCAGTTCTCCACAAGACGCCCTGACCATACATCGACTACGGAATCATCTCCTGGCCGCACACAGCGACCAGCACCATGACCGAATCATCGACTGACCTTCCCATCCCTAAGTACACCGGAGCAGCGGACGATGGACCTGTACAGGACTGGTTCGACCTGTTCGAGCTCCACGCAACCGCTGCATCTTGGTCGGAAAGGGAGATGGTCACGAACTTCAGCGACTACGTCACCGGTGAGGCCTTTAAGTTTTACCTCACCCACATATTCGACAACGACGAGTCTTGGCAAAAGATCAAAGAAGAAATGATCACCCGTTTCAAAGAATACGATGCAGACCTGTCCATACTTCATCAGCGGAAAGCTTTTCAACTCGCCCATCACAGTTACGCGAAGTGTTCCCGCAGTAAGCCTATTTTCCAAACGAGACCACAGAGAAAATTTACCACCATTGTACCATCATATGACTCTTCCGAAAAAACGTCACGCATTAGAACACCGACTGGTGACTTGCACGTCGCAACAGACAAGGTAAAGCCTC